TACAAGGTGAATTGGGTTCCACTTTAGTACAGAGACGTGAAACAACAGCCATGGCAGAATGTAATGTGTCCTTATGAACTTGGGATCCACAGTCTCGAATAAATGATAAAACACAATTCAAGCCACTGCCCTCAAAAACTGCTCCTGCTTCCCTACTGCAAATAAGTTCAAGAACTTTAATGCATTGCTCTGCAAGATCGCGCGATGTTCGTGAAGAAAGATCTGCTACAACTAAACGGTTGCAGATGGCTTTAATAGCGCCATCAATTGAAACAATTCTTCGTGTACACTCCGCAGACACATCCAGATAGTATGTTATGGCGCGTGCAGTAACTTCAAGTACATTTTCCGGTGCAAGCTCATCTAAAAATATCTTGCAAAGGGCTGGCAAAAATGTACGAGGCGGACAACTGAAAAAATAAAACGAACACAATGAGTCCAAAGAATAAATTTATAACATGTATAAATAATATCCGATTTATGTTTTCTCTGGAATTTTCTTATATATAGCTATGCGAATTAGATTAATCCCATATCATAAGCATTTCACCTAGTTGATTATTACCCAGCTCCGCTCCTAAATTAAAATAAAACATTTTCCTCAAAGTACATCCTATTTTTGAATCCACTAATATAAAGTTCAATACGATAGGACTATAAACATCATAGGTCTTTGGAAATAAATGAATGTACTGGCAAATGAGGGATGGTTACAAAGTATCTGTCCAATTAGTTTAAAACAATGTTTTTTTGGTAGCTAAAACCAATTTACCTTTCGAAACATCGATCCACATTATCAGACATCAGAAGAAGCATACATAGCTGCTCTAATGCAATTAATTGCATATCTCTTTCATCTCCTTGCCCCATGGACAACCACTCCAGTAACGTTTCTGGATCAACATCGCCCATCTGAAATCAATTATTTTATTAATAATAACAATTAAAAGCGCTTCAGTCGGAAGATTCCGAACAGAGAATACATTGAATCTTTTTTAAACAAAGCAAGCCATTAACAAATTTATGCTTAGATAGAATTATGGTATTCTAAAAACCGACAGCTTTTAATTTACATCCTATATAAGTGGTGATAAATCATCTGTATATACTATTCTAGAAAATACATGTCAAGTTTGATTCTATCTCCTAAAACCTATAAGATTTGCACAATAATAGAATTTCGATATCGATTTATATTGCTTAATGATTGCTTAGAAATGGGGAAAATAAGCGGGCACTAGGAGGATCTACGTTGAAAATTGTAAGCTTCTTACTCTTATAGATTCTGAGATCGAAACGTTCATACATGTGGACGGACGGACTGACGGACATTGCAAGTCTCAGGCAGGCAACGTATATAACTTGAGGCTAACGAGTTGAAACTTGAAACACACATCTTATGCACCATTAAGAAGTTGATTTCACCCTTAGCCCTCTGAAAATATATAAAACGTGTATAATGGCAACGATAACGTGCCCCCGTTTCTCCACAATCGATATAAGTCGATTTCGAAATCCTCATTTTAAGCACATTCATTAGGTTTTAGCTGAAGTCACTAACTTTAGCCTCATATTTAATGCTGTTGTCTGTTTGCAAAAATGCAAACATTATACAGCAAAATAATATCTATTACAGAAAATCTAGATCGGTTAAATCGAAACACAAAAGTTATTAAAGAAAATGTGGTCAGATCAAATTTATTTTGACTCTCCTTGAAAAGTAAAGAATACACCTGATACCTGGTCTGGGGGACCTCTGCTCATTATATTTGATAGTTAGCTTATTCTCTACAATACTTACATTGACTTTTTAATTTCCAATAAAGTACACAATTTGGGGATAGCTATATCTGAAAATACGAGGAACACAAATTTAGTAACTTTTATTAAGTAAAAAAAATTATTTACCAATATCTATAAGTTTATAATAGAAAAGCAAGTCGACAGCGGCCGAAACATTCAAGATTTTCTTATCACATGTGCAAAAATGTATTCATAATTAACTTTTTCAGGCTTTTCTTATCACATGTGCAATGTGAAAATGTATTCATAATTAACTTTGGTCAGTCAGTCAGGACAAGCTGTTTTATATATAGATAAATAGCAATTCCTAAGGCTATAGCTCTATAAATGACTTTTTCTATTTTACAAGCAATCTGGGCAGGGAATCCACTGAAAGGAAACAAATGTTGCCAGATTTTCATATACTACAGAATAACCTACATACATATTTTAATTTGATGGCTATTGCTTTCAAAAGTTCCAATCAGAAAAGTGGGCGCGTTTATAGTTATGCACCAGAGTGTAGCTATAAAATTAAATATACTATTCAAGAAGCTAATTTTCAAAATTGGTGACTCTGGCCATTTCAATATCGAGTTTTATCGATTGCTTGGCAACTGGGCACGTTATCGATCAGCGGACTTACGGTAATGCGCGGGCACTAGGAGGATCTACGTAAAAATTTCAAGTCTCTAGCTTTTAAAGGTTCTGAGATGCTTGCGTTCATACATAAGGACGGACAAACAGACGGATATAGCTAGATCGACTCGGCTTTTGATGCTTATTAAAAATATATATACTTTATGGGGTCTTGGCTTCCTACGTATTTGTAAAACCAAAGCAACATCGGGCCACCGTATCATATAGCTGACATAGGAACGATCGGTTCCAGAGTAGGTTCTGGTATGAAAATCTTGTTTGTTTATCAAGATATCTTAGCGAAACTAGGCATTATAAGTTTCACCCCCCCCCCCCCCCTCCCCTCCCCCTGCCCACTCCCTCTTTGTATGCGAAATCTTATCAACATTGAACTGCTATATGATATAGCTGACATAGGAACCATCGGTCGAAAATTAAGTACTTTTATGGAAAACTTTTTTGTGTTAAGATAACTTGGGCAAAATCGATAAAAATTGATTTTGAATATGTCCCGGAATTTATAATAGCTGAAGAACTGTAATTTGGTATATAGCTACCATATAAATTCAGAATATATCACTTTTAGAATAACACCCCTCCCCTCCCCGCGCCCAACCAACAGCACCACACTTTCGACATCGACTAATATTCGCATTTTAGTAGCAATGTACATGCACGATTATTTTCTAAAATCAAAACATTGTAATTCTTTAATATTTCTGGAATCTTCCGAGAGTATATGATGTGTAGCTTTGCTTATGTCGTGAATTAATAGAAAGCTACATACGTATATATTAAAACAAAATATTTTTATACACACATGTTTGAAAGGCTAATATAGAATACTTTGCAAGTAAATAATTGATTTTTCACTTTGAAAACTATTAATTTTAAGGATTGTATTTGCTTTACGATCGTTTTTTCGCATTCTTTAGGCATTACAAGTTTTTTTTTACGCTTTTCATTTGCTCTGTCAATCTGTGCATAAGTGGATTTACATACATTCATACAACTCATATACATACACACCCAGTAATTGCGTTCTTATTTTACATTAATTTTGAGCAAAAGTATATGCACATTTTAGTAAGTTTTAGTGTTAATTAGTCTGTGAGAAGAACTTATTTTATAATAGGTGTTTATATTTTTAATGCGTTTGCTTCTGTGAGCTCACACAAAGCAAGCCAATTGAGTATTTACCTGAAGCAGCATAACTTGGCACTGCATATCTCCGGCCAATGAAAGTTTTTAGCTTTACTTAAATGCACATTTGCAAATTTTTCACAAGTTATTTCAGCATTAAATTTTATAATTTAATATTGCCTAAAATTAAATGTCTATTGAAAACACATAAATATGTTACATACATTCACTTAGAGCTGGGAACAATTCGATTTAGATCAAGTTGTATCGATTATTTATTCAATGGTTAGGAAACAATGTAACGACTATTAGTATCGCCAAATATTATTTCGTTATTAAGCATATGCTATACCATTCACGATCATTCCGGTTAGAACTCTAAGAGATTTTACAAATTTTAAAAAAAATTCTTATTCACTATGTGACTTCACACGATATATTCAGCTGTCTCAATAAAAACATACACTTACGTTTAAGTAATGTGTTACATTTGGTAGTATCGGCAGCGTCGATATTTATTTATTAGGTAGTCTAAGTATCGGTAGGTTGGCAAACTAACAAGAGTGCCCCAAAAGCGGGAGGATTGCAACGCCACCCACGCGATCCACTGCGTAAAATATGTACCCGGCTGAGGATAAATATAAGCCTTGAATATTTATTGTGGCAAACATTTCACACTTTAAAAAATGGTTTGTGCCGAACAAAAATTTAAAAAATAGATATATATATATACATTACTAGTTTCAACATAAAAGTAAAATGTAAATTTTTTATATATAAAACTGTTTGTCCTGACTGACTGACTGACTGACTGCCTCACTGACTGATTGATCAACGGACAGCCCAAACCGTAAAAGCTAGGAAGCTTTTCACTGCAGTTTCCTTATGTGCACGTTTAGAAAGGAATTTCAAGAAATTCCAACCGCAAGTGTGGAAAAATCGCGAAAAATCCAAAAATTAATGTGGTACCCTCAAATATCCTATATAAACATAGCTCAAAATTTCTCACCCCCATAAATCGGTCAAAACTCAACCGCTTTCCATAAAGGTTTGGCCCTTTGTTCATGTTTTGGCCTCAAGCTCATTTGGCATATAAATCTGGAAACATAACTCTTACTCAATATTCATATGCGAAAATGGTGTCTTCAAATATCTTATACAGACATAGGTAAAAACTGCGCCTCCGATGAGATCAGCTCTATTCTATCAGCTATTTTTAAAATTCACATTTTTTCACAACACCTCGTATGGCTGCTGTTTGTAAATATGTTAGATGTTAGTTGCCAATGTGAACGCAGTTTCACATCTTCAACAGATTTCATTCGCTTCCCGAAAATGTACTCAGTGTGAATTGACTATCGATTACATTTGTTGATAGTTCTGGGTAATGTATCGGTAAGCTATCGGGAGTCGGTAAAACATGGTAGATACATCGATTTCAATGTACCTTACATCACTACTTTATATCAATTATTGTAGAAGGTCTTATTTTTCGGTTGGAGAGACAATATTATAAATAATGGTAAGATTAAGCAATAAAATGTAAATTAACACAGCTATTTTTATTAAGTCACATACGTTACATGCATAAATAATATGCGGTTGCTTGAATTTCGGTAATTAAAACAAATAACATTCATTTGACCTTATTTATTATAAATAACAAATACAAGCAAAGTCTTCATAATTGAAAACGGAGCTTTTTGACAAATCTCACACATTGAATGTCATATATATATTTTATATACATGCATTTGTATTATATATGAGACATGAAATAATTATAACTACTTAGGGTAGATAATATTTATGTAAGAATTCAAATTTTAATAACAAACCTTTGAACCTAAAAAGCGATAATTGTGTTCCAAGAAGAAGAAAATCATAGATTTAACCTTTAAGTTGGTTCTATCAACGTCCGGCCGAATAATCGCAATTTACTAAATTAAATTCACTCGCTAAATACTTGAAATAACAGCAGGAATATAAATTCGTGTACATCCGTGTCCTTTAGTCTACATAGAACATGGCAAAAAATGGCTAAAGCAACATCATTTATTAGTTAGAAAAATGACCTACATATCGAACAGACATTTATTTACAAGTCGGCTTTATGACGGACAATCGCTATATTCAACAGCCTATTGCTAGGTAGCATAATTTGTCAGTAAGATTACAATGCATGTCAACAAGTTACGAGCTAAGTTTGCGTTTGACGTCTGAAGATTAACGCACTGATTTGGGGTCATGCGAACTCAGCTATTCTTCTATTATCTACTTGTGCTTATCACCACCGGATTACTTAATGCCATATTCAGACAAGGCTCATCTGTGTTACTCTCATTTATTTGAGATATGATTATTATCTCCTAGTTATAGTAGTTGTAGGTAGGACTCTAGGACTTTAGGAGTATTTAATAGATTCAGGTTGAGCATATTACTGGTGCCAAGAAGATGGCTTAATGATTAAGTATTTCACTGTATCTTAAATAGATTATGCAATCCCTAGCTGATATATATTTATAATAATTTGAATTCTGTCTCTTAATTTTGACAGGCTGAACCGATTCGTGTTGTTGTTACCGGTGCTGCTGGCCAAATAGCTTATTCCTTGCTATACATGATCGCAAGAGGAGAAGTTTTTGGAAAGGATCAACCGCTTATTTTGCATCTCCTGGATATTCCGCCAATGGTGGGAGTCCTGGAAGGTGTTGTAATGGAACTTTCCGATTGCGCATTGCCTCTATTGCGCAAAGTTGTGCCTACAACGGACCCACTAGTAGGATTCAAAGATGTTTCGGCAGCTTTTCTTGTGGGTGCTATGCCCCGCAAGGAGGGAATGGAACGCAAAGATTTGCTATCCGCTAACGTAAAAATATTCAAAGTACAAGGCGAAGCTCTTGACAAAGTGGCGAAAAAAGATGTTAAGGTTCTTGTAGTTGGAAATCCGGCGAATACCAATGCGTTAGTTTGTGCCAACTACGCACCATCGATTCCACGTGAAAACTTCTCAGCCATGACTCGCCTTGACCAAAATCGTGCATCATCACAGATCGCAAATAAGCTCGGTGTTCCAATTACTCATGTTAGTAATATAATAATTTGGGGTAATCACTCCTCTACGCAATACCCAGATGCTAGCCAAGGAAAAGTCCTGATAAACAATGAATGGAAATCTATCGTTGATGCACTTGGCGACAATGCCTATCTCGAAGGCCAATTTATTGACACCGTTCAGAAACGTGGCGCAGCTGTTATTGCAGCCCGCAAAATGTCGTCAGCCATGTCGGCAGCAAAGGCTGCATGCGACCATATGCATGACTGGTGGAATGGCACAGCCCCAGGAAAATTTGTATCCATGGGTGTGTTTTCAGATGGCAGCTATAACTCGCCGAAGGACGTGGTGTTCTCATTTCCAGTAGAGATCAAAAACAAGCAATGGAAAATAGTTGAAAACTTATCCGTTAGTAGTTTTGGACAGACAAAGCTGGACTTGACTGCAAAGGAATTGCAGGAGGAAAAAAATGAAGCATTGTCCGTATTGGATTCGAATTGACTAGCCGGCGGAGGGGACTCAAAATTGTAAGGAGCTTCTGAGCCAATTGCATATTTTGTGTTTGTTTGACAGCTATTTTACGTGTTATGCATTTATAAAATGTTTATACAATGTTTGTAAATAATATAATAAATAAAAATATTCCATGCTACGTAATAATTAGTTTTTTTACATTTTTATTGTACGCATCATCAAGGCCTCAGCGAGTTCAACACGTTTCAAATGATTTTTCATATAAATCTTTGGAAATAAAATTGAACACGAAAATTGACCCGTCAAATCTTTGACCCCCATTTCTACCAAGAAGAAAGGCATTTTTCGAAAAATGTCAAACACCCCTCAAAGGAATTTGAACAAAGATCTTTGAAATTGAGTTTGAGGCCGCTCCAATAGTATAAAAAATAGTTTCATACAAACGTTTTTTGCGATTTTTTAACACACGCAGGTGGACTTCCCCAAAACACCGTCTTAACGTGCGACCGCCTCACATAAGGTAAGTATAGTGAAAGTTCAGGCTGCCAGCTCTTTCGCTTTTGGCTGTGCGTTGGTCGCCAAACAGTCAGTCAGTCCGAACCAACATAGAGAAATAAAATTTGTTCCGTAGTATGTCTTGTGAACTTACCCATTTGAATTTGTTAAATGTATATCGGCAATCGATAAGAATCGCTACAAATCCTGTTTTTAAGCAATTTTCTTAGGTTTTTGTAGTTGCTTGTTTGTAGAATACGTATATTCTGTACAAGTATCTTTAATTTTTAGTCTATGGCTTCCCGTAAGTAAAATAAAAAATCAATTTAAGTCACCAATTCAAGACACAATTTAAAAGCAATAAAATAATATGTTTTGGAATTTTAAGAGAAGCTGTGTTATCGAATTTTTTGGCATGAGCTCATAAAACATGATGAGACGTTAACGCGTAAATTAAACAGCTACCAAGTGAGAACGGCTTGAAAATTTTAATTATAATACTAATATATAAACGTTTACCAACACTATTAAAAAAATTGTAAATAATAGAGTAAGAAAAAGTTTTATGCTAAAGTAAAGTGTCATTGTATCAAATATTCTCGAAAAGATCCATCTAAATCAGCCTTGGGAGTGAATTTATTATATTATTTTGTTCAAAAAAATTGGCAAAGACAACAAAGAAATATGTCAACAGAGGAGCTGCCAGCTGATTTGGATAAGCTGAAAATAACTCCAAAAAATGAACATAAAAAATTATGTGATAGAAATCCATTTTATACTTCAATTGCAATTTCGAATAATCAGACAAATGAGGCACCTATTCAATGTACAAAACAAATAATTCATCGTAAAATGCGTCGAATTCGGCGCAGGTCCGAAAGCAACATGGACGACTTTCAATGTAAAAAATCAGATGCTCCAGTTGCTGCGGATAGTTTTGAAATTGTGAATCATCTGCGCTGCCTGCCCGGAGTGAATAAACTGCAATTGAAAAGAAGCAATATTCCATCGAAAAGAAATTTGCTGCGCGAGCCTGTATTACGGATCGCACACGACAATCTACATACGAAATGCGGGCTTGGTACCCGTGTCCGTCGAACGATTCCCTTGAGCTTCGATGAAAGGAATCACACAAATTTTCATAAGCCTCGAACAAATATTTGCATTAAATCCAGTACAAACGGCATTTGCAGCTTTCGGGATCTGATAAGTGAATGCAATATCTTGCTCGATGAGTCTAAGTCCAAAAAGGAAACCTTGGACAACAGCCAGCACCAATCCAAGAACTTTATGCTATGCCAAACAAGAGGAGCATCCGCACAAAAAGGAATTGGTCACAAGCCCAACTCACGTGACCCAACTAGCATTACCTCAGGCTCCAGACTCTCATGCTCCCAGGAGGCAAGCAACAATGCACACAACTCCAGCCCGAGCAACTGCGACGATGTCACAATTGTTGAGCTGGCCAGCTATTTCGACACCATGGTGCACATTCCTAAGAAGATGTCGTCGATGGCGGAGATGATGTATATTTAAGGATTGGCACTGCCAAAATTTTGTTGGATTTACATTTGTGAATATTTTAACTTGTACATAAGCAAAATATATTTGAATGAGTGTCATTAGGTTAAAACTAAGCGTTATAAACTGTACATGCATATTCTGATTAAATTATAGATATAGAAATTATTTAGTAAATGAATTTTAAATGAATCTTTGATTTGAAACAAATCTCATTTTATCGGCGTTCAATCTTTGTTCTAACATATTCATCTATAGTTCCTAAGGGAGCTATAAATAATAAAGTATTTATATTTAGTTAATAAGGTCTTATTTTTTTTAAATTTCAATTCCTTGTGCCCAGCTATGTAGGGGAATTTTAAAGTATGCGTATGCAGATTTCTGCATCGTTCTCGTTTCTATCGATGCCAGCCCAAAGAGCAGCTCGATCTGGGTTGCGCAGAGATCTGTGCGAAGAGATTTTTTGATCGAAAGCGACCCGAGAAACCCCTTCCCAAAATTTCGTCTCATAAAAGGTTTTGAGATCGAGGCGTCATATATACGGACGTGGCTAGATCGACTAACTATTAATGCTATTATGAATGCTACCAATGCTAATCAAGAATATATACGCTTAATAGGGTCGGAGATCTGGCCTTTTGCCTGTTACATGCATTTACGCAAAGCCATTTTACCCTTTTTACCCATTTTCAATGGGTTCAGGGTATAAAAATAAACATTTTAGTTAGGTGCTAACAAACTTGACACGCCTTCATTCACTGCTATAATATATGATATAAATTAAGTATTAAAACATTACGTTTTAAACAAGGTTCAAAGGATACCGAAAAAGGTATACAATATTTCCTTGCGTGGGTTAATATTGCCTAAGTGCATAAGAGAAAAATCGTACCTTTATTTTTCCTTTACAATTTGGTAATTGTTACCAATGCAATATCCTTTCAATTTTGGGTCCGTATGCTTCCAAAATCGGAACACAGATCCACGGCGATCCGCATTTCTGAAGGCAGGTTGGTGGCTGACTCTCTTGGTCGTATTATAAACAACAAGACGACTTCGGTAATCGCTTGGAACACCTTATCAAGCAGACTATCACTATAAAAAACTGAAGTCATCGTTGACACGATTGTCAAAACCAAGACTAAGAATGTTTCATGTGACGTTAGGTAATATTATATTTCTTAATTGACTAAAGTCTAAAGCAGTATTATGTACTATATATGCTGACAGTCGTACACATGTTTTTGCAATGTCAACTTCAGTTTGGATACAATATATCATAATGCCCTGGTCTATAGATAAGATAAACTTTTGGCTCTGATCCTTCAGGGAAATCATGCGCTTTCACTTGATCACCTTCCCCCCTGTCCAGGTACTCAACTCGCACGCCCACTCCCAGCGCTGTGCAGAGTGCGATGATATGTATGTGGTCGGATTCCTTGTACATGGGTTCGACTTCTTGATGACGAAACTCTTCAATGGAAAAGTCACCCTCTATGAAATGTTGATAAAAATCAGCGTCTTCCTGCAGTTTGCCTGATGTTATGAGACGCAAATAGACGACTACATAATCGGAATATCCCTGATCGTTAAATACAGTATGCAGTTCGGTTTTAACTTTTCCAGTTGTTTCCGCATCCTTTGGACAAACGCGCCTTATCACATCCATGAACTGGTAAGAAAAATAACAGCATGCAACACATGACCATAATAACTTTGTATAGCACACAATTCACTTACAGTTTCATGAAAGTCTTCCAATGTGAAACTGGGAAAGCCAAGTTGTACAAGCTTGTCCTTAGAAGCCTCGGCAAGTTTTTGAAATTCTTGGTAAGCACTGTTGTTGGTGATCAAATACTCTAAATATGAATAAGCAAATGCTCGAAAGAAACAATTTCCATCGGGACGAGTTCGTCGAATAAATTTGTATTTTTTGGAAAGCTCTTGAATCTTATCGGTAAAGATTTCGTCCCCATTATATTCCTCCTGTAAACAAGTCAGCGGCAGTTGCTCACTCACAAGAGGAGTTGTATCGCTGATCTAAAACCATTTGAGTTGTACATTAAGCATTGGGAGACATTGCTGTCCTTACTTCTTTTTCTATTTCTCGCTGCTGTTGTATGATTAATTCGTCGCGGTTGGCGTCATACTGCTCAATAGATTCCATGATTTCCGAAAGTAATATTCTCCCAAATATCACAATTGCATTCGTTGTGTGGACATAAAAAATACACCACAATGGATTAGTGGGGCCGTTAGAAAGAACCCAGAAAATACTACACATCAAAATACTAAACTATATATTCTAATAGGGGGATTCCAGTGACTTAAATAAGGCGACCGTTTCATTCCAGCATTCCGTTTAACAGATGAGCTCTTATTATTCAAGGTATAGCTCTATACAAAGGTTAATAATTATTAAATTCACTAAACATTAAACAGACTATATAATAAGTGGGACTATAAAATAGATTTAAATAACAAATATTAGTAACATTTCTTGCACAGCACAAATACAAGCCGACACAGAAAATTTACATCAAAACGGGCAACATTGCCAAAACGATTATTAAAAATAGTTTATTATATATTGAGTATATATATTGTAAAAATAAATAATCGACCCCAGTAACTGGCAAAATCAAATAACAAAAAAAAAAAAAAAATAGAAAAATGTATTTACCAAATTTGTTAGAAACCAACGCATGTCCAAAATAAAAGAGGAAAATAAATTCAATTCTTGGACCGTAGCTGCCCGAAGCCGACAATTATTACAATCACACACGATCCTCACTTCGAAAAAAGTAACAGCATATCAGATCAAAGAATTTTAGTGATATTAACGGGAAATGTACATGCGTTACCGCAATTTTTATTTATTCCTACCATGAAGATGAGTAAACAAAATGCATTTTTTGTGCTTGGTATCGTATCACATAGTAGGACTTAACATATAATATTATAATAAATCGAATGGATATGCTATTTTAAATACTGTGCACATTGTTAAAAAACTTTTATTAATAGAGTTAATGCCGTTTTAAAATATACAGCGAAATCATTATTATTATTTATTTTTGTGATGCACCTTTGAATGAAGGTTGTTGGTTGGATGAATCTAATGTTAAATGATTTTGAAAAGGCATTGGTTGCACCTGAATAAACTCAATTGGAAACGAAAATGGCAATTCATGTAATTTATTGCCAAAAGCTTGTGGGTTGAAATTAAATGATGTATCGTTATTAGCGACAATTATATTGAATGGAGACTTGGTCTCAAGGAGTTTGAAAGGAATAAATGTACTTTCTGCTGTTGATTGCTCCATGGAAGCAAATGTCTTTGAGTCCTCTCTATTTGTATGCTGATTAATTGGTTCCTTAAAAGTTTGATATTGTGATAAATCTGTTTGTTTTGAGGGAATTGGCTCTATATTCGTATGCTGATTTAATGGTTCCCTAAAAGTTTGATAATGTGATAAATCTGTTTGTTTTGAGGGAATTGGCTCTATATTCGTATGCTGATTTATTGGTTCCTTAAAAGTTGGATATTGTGATTTCATTGATAAATCTGCGTGTTTTGAGGCAATTTGTTTATTATGATAGTAATTTTCAGATGAAAAAACAGGACGATCGAATGTTTCCTCAGTGTCAGAACTAAATTTCGGCATACCTTGGTCTTCATGGTTTTTATAATATGCATGCTCATACCTGTATGGCTCTTGGGATTTAATGTAAACTGGCACTTTTCTTTCGACCTCAACGGTGAAGGGAACTGGAATTTTTTTTTCAACGGTTATTGGCACTTTGATTTCAACAGGATATGGAACAGTTTTTAGAACAGGATAAGGTTTGGGTACGTGTACAATTTGTTCCATGATTTTTTCAACAACATAAGGCTTAGATATATGAACTGGCCTTGGAACTCGAACAATCCTTTCAATTACTTTTTCTACAGGCACATGTACAATTTTCTCGACTGTTACGTTGACAATTTTTGGGACTTGCACAATTTTTTCAATGATTTTCTCAATTGGAATATGTACAATTTTTTCAACGGGATACGGCTTTGGTATGGATCTTATAACTTCTTTAACATGGTTATGATGATGATGGTGATGATGATGCTTGACTTTAATTTTAACAGGATCATCGTGCTTTTCTACCTCAATCTTTTCTGGTCCACCAACTGCTTCTTCACGACTTTCATAACGCTTAGAAGCTTGATACTGTCCATCTTGGTTGTCCGGCTCGTTAATGTGTTCGTGTATTTCTTCAAAAGTTTCGTAAATCTTTACTTCTTTATCTTCACTTGTGTGTAGATTGTTTTTAAGCTTTGTTGGTAAATTCAAAGATTTATTAAAGTGTGAGCGCTTTGCATGCTTGGACGCTTTTGCTTGACGCTTTTTTTTAGTACGACTTCTTCTGACTTCAATGTAAGTGCGATTTAACGGTAAATTCGAATCAAATTTACCGTACTCCTGAAACCCAGAATGAGTATTTAATGTGTTTAGGTTGGTATTCGTCATATTCCGATGATTTATAACATGTTTTTCCATTAAAATGGAATTAGCTCTTGTCTCTTCCGCAAGAAAAATTGATAAAATTAAAAATATCGAAGTTACGTAGGAAATCTGAAATATTTAAATATTTTTATACAGATATTAAAAGATTTACTGCTTGTATTGAATCTTACGCTTGCTGCCATTTTTGAAAAAAAATATTAAGTACAGTTAAATTATTTTTAAACTTTCGATGTTGATGTTTAACGATCTCCAGCAGCAATGAATATCTGAATGCTTCAATGGAGCATTTATAGTCGAACCAAACTCACATTTAATAAAAAATGTGCACTAACATTTATGCAATTTTGTTTTTATGTTTTTTATATGCTTTTAAGAGTAAGTCGAAAACACTAGTCAACAATTTTTTTTAAACCTTAACTTTTATATATAAATGAAATAAAAAATTGTTAACAATAAAAGAAAATCAATTGCATCTCTACAATAAAATGAATGCAGATATTTTCATTGCAGGTTCATTGAACGCAGATCTGTAACCGTTTTGCTTCTATTCAATTTGTTTATCTTATTAGCTGGATGTCAAGGTATCTGAGTAACAGAAACATAAACGGACCTTTATTCCGGGACAAACTGCATTTCTAATGCAGTTATCTTGACCCCCTCTTTGGTCATTTTATTAATTACCGTTCTTCGGTAGAGTCCTATAGTCCTATGTCCTATGATAGTTTAAAACTATTTATAATAAATTTGTTGAACATGCATTATTTATAATAACGGCTGCAGGACTACAACATTTATACAAACACAAATTTTGAATGTAATTGTCGCTGGGATACCACATATGTACATATTTGATTTTGTAATCTAGTGTAAATTATAAGAAAACACACAATGTAGATCAGCTCAACTCTCTTGAATTCAGGTAAAAAACCAGAAAACATACAGAAATATTTTATACGACTGAAGGCGCCTGATCGCGTGACTTCTGTCTATTTATACACATACATATACGGTATTTATGCATGCAGAAGGTATACACCCAGCCAAAACAGTTTAAAAACTTAACTTCCGAGTATACATATATACATACATACATGTATAAATATGTATGTACATATATACAAACATAAAATGTCTACTTACATACATAACTAAATCGAGGGTAGCCTTTAATGTTACTCGTCTTGGTAAGTCTGGTGCTGTTTATCATTTTCACTGAATCCATTGTAAATGGATTATAAATATAACAAGAACCCGATCCTTGTGTATTTCCGATCAGGCCGAGCTGAGGCGGTCAAGTCATGTTCGTCTGTGTGAATACGACGCACTTAAAAACTACACAAGGGACTTGAAAATTGAAATATATACTCTAGCATTTTAATTAATTTAAATTTGAATTTGTCGGAATCGTCGGTAGCTATAAAGTGAATGATACTGGATCTGTATATACTATAGCCATTAAAACCAAAGAGATTTGCCCAAAAACGAGAATTTCCATAGCGTTTCTTATCGATTAAAACGGAGCAAGTTATCGGTTATCGGTAACGAACTCGTACTGCGAGAGCACGAAGAGAACCTTCGTTGACAACTACAAATCTATTAGGTTTTAAGATCGACGCTGATCAATTCTAACCAAGAAAATATATACCTTATGGACTCGGAGATACCTCCTTCTCCTTGTTACATAAACTTACAAAAATGCAAATTGGTGCCACACAACCAATGAAAGGTACAATTTAAGGAATTATATACAAGATAAACAGATTTACAAATATTATATAGTACAATAAACGCAGACAATGTCATCAAGACAAGCCACTTAATAGTCTCATAACAAGAAGTGTAACCCTCGCATACAATACTATATACTCAAATAAAGGTAGTACGCTTGGCTAAATTTGCACTTTCCGGAAGGGCAGTGAAAAGAGATTTGAGCTATAATGTCTGTTGAAATCGAGTGCTATAAACTCTCGGTGAGATCATAATTCAGGATGTATATCCGACAGTCTACCGACAGTCTATATTCTCTTGAGTATAATTCCCCAAGAGAATACTTCATGGTCTTCCGACCACATTCCTTTTTTTGTGCAAACTTTTATAGTAGTTTTGTGCACAAGTACGCAAAGGGCAAAATAAGGCATTTGTGATCTGATATATGTATATTTATATGTTTGCTAACCTTAAACAGCGTCTTTGATCCGCTATTCCCACCGAGCTTCAATTTTTATAAGAGTGTGATATGTCAGCCTTTAATCTTTGTTGCGGAAGGACTTTCCGAAAAGTGTGAAAACCCTCTCAACTGGATTTGGACTAGGATAGCTTATTAGTTCTTACGGCTTGGACTGCGCGTTGATCACCAATCACTCAGTCAGTTAAGATAAACCCCATAGTGAATATATTTTTGATCTGCATCAATAGCCGAGTCGATTTAGCCATGTCCGTCTATCTGTCCATTCGTCCGTCCGTATGTATAAACGCAAGGATCTCAGAATCTGTAGGAGCTCAAGATTTGGAGGAGCTGAAATTAGAATGTATGTCCTCGTAATGCCTGCGCGGGCATACGAGTTTGTCTTCGACAATCGATATCTTGCGCCGTTTCCAAGCAATCGATAAAAATCGATATCGAAATCCTGTTTTTTTTTAGCAAATCTGTTGGTTTTCAACACCATTGCAGCAGCTCCACTTGGTGTTGTTGGGAAAGAGTTCAAAGTATCCCCTAGTCGGGAACTCCCGACAAGAGCCTCTTACTAAATTAATTAATTAATAGATTAAGTTTAGATTCTTATCTGAAAAGAAATTTTATTTTTTATATTTTTGTTGCTTTTTTCGTCATTGCACAATTTGTTAGACATTTTTAAGTTTGTTATATAAATGTTTCGCATATCGCTTATGGTGTAAAATATTTCGAGCTAATCTGCCGGCTGGCAAGTTTTTCGTCGATCCATGGTCTTAAAAAGGCAACACTTGCATAAACACCGGGTATATTTTCTTCACCACAGCCTATACCCCAAGCAACTATACCAGCAGACTTAAAGCGATTGGGTTGACCTTTAATCGGACACACTAATGGAGACCCACCATCGCCCTTACACGTATCCTTATCCTTTTCTCCTCCTGCACATATAAAACTTTCATGCAATATAAAATGCCTTCCAAGTCGTGTTTCCCGTAAATTAGTTTGGCACTTTGCTCTTCCAACAACAGGCAAATCTATTTTTTTGAGTATTACTTGATATTCCCCATCTTTGCCAAATTTATTTTTCCCCCAACCTGTGGCATAACACCGTTCATATTCGAAATCTTCCCCTAGAGTTGGTAGACAAATCGGTTGAATATTCATTTGAAAATTCAATGGGGTTTCTAAAATAAGCAATGCAATATTATTAAAAAGGGATCCCTTATTGAATTTTTCATGATAAATAATTTCCTTCACATAACGATCTTCATGTGGAATGATTTCGTCTTTGGTTTGCGTATCCCATTCACCAGCGCGAACTAAAATAAATATGGAATTCATAATTATCTATCATGTATTATAGAAAAAACCCATACCAATAAGAGACTTAGCGTCTTTGTTATGAACGCAGTGGGCTGCTGTCAATATTACTTCGGGTGTTATTAAAGCGCCGCCACATTCGTATAAGTTGAGTTGAGACTCTTCTCTTAAAATTGCGACCATCCATGGAAATTCGCCAAATTCCGCTTCTTGATTTAATGCTCCAGTTATTTTAAAGCCAACACCATTAGGGTTCTGATATCCGCAACCCCGATTTTGATCAATAGGTCCAACCGGTATTTCTGGCGTATCTCTCTTGGTGTGTGTAAATATTTATTGAATAAGAATAATTAGTTTTGCTTTATAATTTACTCTCACAATAGAAGACCCAAACATACCTTGTTGGGAAGGTCACAACAGCGTTCCAAATACTTTGTGCAGGGTGATCCAGTATCTATGCGAATATCAATTATATTTTCTCCACTAGTATTAATGGTATCGTTGGAACATAACCATCGAGGAACACATTCTTTTTGGTCCCCACAGGACTCATATTGAGTTCGTTCCTTTATAGTCTCAGTAGATTGTGAAGATGTTGTTGGAGTCGATTGGGTGGTAGAACTGTCTGTTTTGAAAATATCAGCAATAAGGTCGTCCAGTGAGCTATCTTGTCCCACGCATGTGTATGCCATAAGGCCCAATATCAAAAATTTAATTATCATCTTTCGGTTTCCTAAAATTCAAATATATTTAGGACTTAAGAATAGTTTAATCTCATATATAAAAAAAGCAAGTATCCAGAAAAGAAAATGAGTTTGGAGTCCCTCTCAATATTGCACCTCACGCGAAAACTTTATGCACAGAAGAGCAAGCCTCGTAGTCAGTGAAATCGATGTATCGTCATCAAGGAGCTGCTAGCAAAAAACTGCTTTACATTAACCTATAGCAGTTTACTAATAACAACAGCAAGATCGGTCGGCGGAAGTAATGCGACGGATCCACAAAGTTGCTTAATGCGATCACACGAAAAATTGTGCGTGCCAGCTGTGGACACCTCTCTCTGAAGCTGTGCGCAAAGCCATCTCAGGAGCTCGTATCAATCAATAACTTTCACAATTTTTTAATGACTAGAAAGGTCATTAAAATAGGTCACTCAGCTGGCTGAGTTCATCAGAAATCCGATTCCCATACGGTCTAGCACTTGGTTTGGGCTTTAGTACAGCGCTAACGAGCTCTGCGGGACATTACTTAGTATCGCCGAGTAAAGCGACACTCTCAGCGACACTACCCGTTGTGGAGGAGCCATTCTTCGTTCGACACAGATGCACTTAATTCTGCTTGCTTTACAAACACATCACATTTTGGCTGTACAGAGCGACAAACAATGGCGACAATATAATCGCTGCCGCATATCTCCCCCGGAGAATAATTTGAGAAATGCTTCATCCGACCGGTGCTAAGACTTGGTCAGTAGTTCCTCATCATCTATGACGGAGTTAGCCAAGCGAACCTTACAGCGAATTTACACCAGGATTTCCAACTGTCGCAATATGATTTGCAAATTGCGGCAGGAGGAGTCAAAGCACTACTAACACCAGCACCGACCGCTCATTTTGGAAGCTCACCAAACGATTCGAATGCCAGGCGACTTCCAAGTCAAGGGCCATGGAGTCACAGCCCACTCCGTAACTCTAAACATGAAGGAATCCTAGCTCTCAAGAAGCTACCGCAGGTCTCTCTCTTCCTAAGAGGGAGGTCAATCAGGAAGTCATGGCTTAAAAACACAGCAAGTAGGCATATACGACCCGATAGTGCGGTATCTTTACGATATAAATCTTTTTTGTGATGCTTTAAGGAGGCATTGTCAGGAACGGCTACTTCCCACAGGTATGGACATTATCCAAGATCGTTATGGTTCCCAAGAAATGCAAGAACCCCCCACAACGGAGTAGAACCGCCAAATCAGCCTGCTCCCTACTCGAGTGACTCTTAATTCAAAGAATTCTCGGAATCAGGACAGTTCAGAGAGCCATACCCAACTTCCAGTTCAAGTTCAGGCGACAGCGACGCCCCGTTTATTTTTCGGTTTCTAGATTCTCACAGCAAAACTATCATCGGCAGAATCCGCAGCTTCCAATTTTTCGTTTCTAATAAGATGGAATTCAAACATATTTTCAATATGTACATTTTTTGATAGCTTTAAAAGTTTTGTAACTGTAGGAAACTAAATTTGATATCTGCACGAAATAAGCTTAGAGGAACTGTACATACATACATACATACATATATACATATGTTTCAATGTGTGCATTCTGAGGCTGTGTATATTTTTTCGGCTACATACATACATACATGTACGTACATACAACTAAGTATGTCATGGTGATAGTAAAAGTTGATTACCTATTAACATCCTAGCACAACAAGAGTGATAAGAGGCATATGTATGTATTTGTGTAGATGTGTATTCAAGCGTGTTAATGTTTACAAATGTATTGTTGTATGAGTGTGCATGTTTACATATGTATGTACATATGTATGTACGATGGATCATACTTTCTTGAAAAGTACTCTCAATGATTAAACAATCATATTAATATACATATATATGTGTTAATTGTTAATTTACATACATATGCACACAATAATTTCGTGTACCGAAACTGCCGCCGCTTCGAAACGTGTGTGTGTGTATTCATATTTAACAAATCCGGTTTAATTCTCCAAGCACATCTGTATATATGTACATATGCACGTAGTTATAAATATACACAAATATATAGGCACATCTTTATATATGTATATACATACGTATATTAATGAAACGAATACATGCATTTGTATATGAACTTTTGCTTGTTTATAAACAAGTATGCATGTATGTACTTTGTACATGTGCATGTAGGATATGTATGTATGTATACACATTCATATAAAAGTCAACGCAAAGATATTATAACGGCTTGATATAAAACAAACTTATATAATTTGTAAATACATACGTTCTAATACCAAATTGTAGGTACGTATAAGATTCACAGCTCGATCTGTTACGCTTAGTGCTAAAAATTGAACTAAACTTTTTTTAGGCTGAGATTAAACTTGAAAGGTGAGCTTTGGTGCCTGAAGTCTCTATGAACCTCATTGAAAGTTTGAATCAATACGAGTTTTCAGCCTATAGAGATGATATTTCGCTCACGAGCTTTCTCTCAATACATGTAGTTCAGATTACCGGGGAAGAGCGTGAATTCAAGCTAAAATTTCTTATTGCTGTACTAAGCTTTAGAATCCTACGTTTTTGCCCAGAAATTTACAATCAATTAGATTACAGATATTATTATTTCGGGGTTTTTTTTTTGTAACGTGAGAGAAGTATTTGTTGTGCTTACTTAAAAAATAACTAAGATATATAGTTGCGTATATTAACAACCAAATGATTATTAGGTATTTATATTATAGATTTGAGTATTAATATACAAATAGGGCTTATAGGGTATATAAATTAACAATTCACTTCGATTTTGCAGGAATATTACTTACTGTTGATCCGCGATAGCGAATAATACAACGTAGGACAGGTTACGGAAGTCACCAGTGTCGACTGCTGCGTCCGCGATGGCGCTGAGCTTGAGCCTCAAGTGAGTTATCACTTCTCCTCTTATATATAATAATTATGTTATTCTTGGTCAAAATTGATGTGAAAATTGAACCCTCAAATATCCTATATATGCTAGCCGCGAGTATAATGGCACAATTCATTCTGTTAATAATCGAAGACCAATCGATATAATGTTCAATCTCGAGCCAGGCTGGCAGGAACAGTTTAGAGTGAGAATTTAAATTTAAAATGCGAAAATCTTATGGTGAATTTTTAATTTTTTATCGATTTGCGCCAAATTTAATTTTAAAGCTCTTCTTAAGAACTTAATAAATATGCCTCATTTTGCGATTTCGGAAATTCCATCCGCAACAGTGATAAATTGGCGGAAAAAAATTCAGTTGAGACGTGTTTCACATTTTTCTTAAAATCCCCCTCGTTCGGGGGAAAGTTTTAGGTTTCGTTCGATCAGCTTCAAATATATTTTCAAAGCACAACATAAAAACTAAAAGAACAAGTGTTACAGCGATTTTGAAAATTCCACCCGCAACAGTGGAAAATTAGTGAAAAACTTTTGCATGCAACTTTTTTTGTTAACCAACCTTTTCATATATCTTGGGTAAAAATGATTTAAACGCTTTTCACGATATCCACCGCTCTTATATGGAAATGTGGGTCAAAGGATTCCAGGTTTTTGTACTGTATTCGATAGGCTTTAAAAATATTTTAAAATAGAAGTGGAGTTCAAGAACGTACGGGCAGAATTAAATTTTCACGGTTGGAAACAGGGGAAAAAGAGATATCTAAAATATTTAGTAGAAACTATATAATATGATTTTAAGTAACGATATTTTCAGAATTAACACATTCAAGAATTCTATGTTATGTTTCATTGAACGTATCTTTTTTTTTACAATATACTATATTATAATATAACTTTTATGATGTTCGTAATACTTTTCAGCAGCAAAATTAACGCTAGAATCATTTTGCATCTATAACTGAATTCTATTTAAGGGTCAAATGATAAATTCACCATAGCTGAGCATTGGTTGAGGCGCTGAACGTTTGTGATTGGTTCAAATTGGGGGGTGTGTTCAGCGTGTTGGTCTGGTTAATATTCATGTAGTATGCAACAGTCTCTGTTCGGGAAATATTCTTCAAATATATTTAGTTATTTCTGTGCCGGTAATGAGCTAATTTCTCAAGTATGTAAAGTTCCTTAACTCTAGTTAATAATAGCAGTTTTTTGATTGATAAATAAACAAATGCAACACCTATGAGGTTTCTGTTCTTGAAAGAGTGAAATGTCGAAATACGTAAGTCCGGTATGTCGGGATTCTCCTTCGTTTTTTTACAACGGTGATTATAATAACTCGCCCATTTCGGATTTAAATGTTTTTGATTGTGAGTATTTCATTTAATAAATCAATAGTGAACGATAGTTTCATTGAAAGTGAGTGAAATATATATGTTCTTGATCAGTGCGAAGAGCTGAGTCTGGCCATATCCATCTATTCTTCCATATCTCTCTTAATTTCGATGAAAATAGATTTTGAGACATATTTTTGAAAGCACAACTCAAAAATTGTAAGAGCTAGATTCCCGTAATGTAAAACAAAGTATGTATATGCATATAAAATGGGAAGACACCATTTTTTGAAAGGTTGCTGGGCGAAGGGTTCAGAATACTTCCTAGTTAGGCAATCTCGACTAGAGCCCAGTTCCATCCGTTGAAAAACTGTTCATTCTTGTTTATCATTCGGGCGTCTAAAAACACAAATATTTAACAAATCTCCTTGAGTTTCTTTTATGTACCTTCCGTGGGTGGAAATCACTTTTCAATTCTTGCGGCGCTGTATAAAAAACCCGCACACTTTTTTTTGTTTATAAGAAAGAGATACTTAGTCGAGTGTTGCCGACTGTATCCCATTCGTAAGTACTATATATTTTTATACATGTACACAGAAAAAAACGTACACGTGCATACTTGGACAGCTGCCACAATCTGCGCGTAAGTTGTTCAAAAACAAAATCAATTATCAAATTGAACTGTTCAAGGCTTAAACGAAGTACTATTACTACTTCTGAAATATATATATTTATAGCCTGTACCCATTGAAAATAGGTAAAATCGTTTTCTCCCAAACTAGAGGATAAGCATCTCCATTCTCATAAAAGATATATATTCTTGGTTAGCAAACTAAAGCCGAGTCCAGTCTAGTCGCGAGTTCCTAATCTGTCCATTCGCCTGTATGAACGCATCGATCTCAGAGATTCACCCCGATTATAGAGACATTGAAATAGCAAATTTGGTATATACCTTAAATGTGTTGTATATAAAATATATTGTTATTATAAATGTATTTATTTACTTTTTTTGTAATTTTAGATTCTAACATAAACAGTGCCGGTGAAATATATTCTTCCACCAATCAGATAAGTTTCAATCCACATCCAACAGTTCGAACTATTAAAAAGAGAAACACAGCTAACAAAAAAGAAAGAAGGAGAACACAAAGTATTAATAATGCATTTTCATGCCTGCGCGAAAGAATACCAAATGTTCCTTCAGACACAAAGTTATCTAAGGTAAATATTTTATCAAATCAATCAAAGTTTCCAAGATTAAATAACATTGATTTGTAATTAGAACCTAGCTTAAGGTTCACTAATAAAATTCCATTATCATTTAACTTTCACGAACAAGAATGGTAATCATATTTAAGAGCTACTAAAAATGTTCATATTCAGGCCGTGAATTTTCTTCAAGATTATAAATTCTAAGCATTAAAGGGCTTACATAAATATTATATTATAAAATTAAAGTATTTATATTTAAAACCCCATTTGCAGATAAAAACTCTAAAGTTGGCAATATTGTACATAAACTACTTAGTAGGCGTTTTGGACGGTGAGCAAGATCCTAAAAGCGGATTTCAGGCTGAACTTAAGCTTCCGAACCGTAAAGTCTATCTTGACAGAAAACAAGCGATTGAGGTATGTATATTAGTAATTGTGGAGTTGCCAATGTTTTTTTTGAATCTATAGCCAAAAATTGAAGGTAAATTTGGCTTTTTACAACAGCACGCTATAATGCTTTTATTTATCAAAATTATTTTAGCTATAAGTTGTTTGGCTGTGGCTCAGAACACTTTCTTTGCTCCGCTAAGATCAATAACGAATGAGCAAGTGCAAGAGAGGCTTGCCAACCTTGTTTACAACAAACAGCTGATTCATCTATTTATGTTTGCATGAATGTTTGCTCATGCTAATGCGATGCGACTTTTACAGAATCCAACCTAGTCCCCCCTTTGAAAGCCTGACTTTCAACAGAATCCTTAAGAGGTAGCAGACACAACTTGGGAAATGTATTCTTGAATAGCATCGGTGTTAATAGCAAGATCTTCAATTTATTTTTAGGGTATGCATGTGCCGCCTAATCTGTACAAACGCTTCAACGCAGCGCTTCAGCTTTAAAAATAAATTTTTTTAATTTTGTGGGTATCGGGAGAAGTTATCCAAGAATTGAGTAATATTAATTTATGTCAACTATGCAAGATATGCAAGTTATGCATCAAAAACCCTGATGGACAATTAATTTTATCAATTTTTTTAAAATGGTACTAGATATCGGAAAAAATAATAAGAAAGTTAATTTCGTATATAGACCGATTCATTTTGTCGTCCTGATCAAGAATATAGATACTTTCTTAGATCAAAGATGCTTCCTTCTGCTTGTTCTCACAAATTTTCATTGGGTTGAGTATAAAGAAAAAAAGAACAGCTTCCATTGCATGTGGAAGATTAAATACTCTTATGTATATGAGTCACGTTTTGGCAGACATGGGCAGAGGCTTGTGATAATCGTAATTGTTTGGGGAAAATTTCTCTGGCTAAACTCATTTTTCGACCTACTTTCCTGAGAGCTCTTCGATATAAAATCCCAATGGTTATATGATATTTTTCATATTAAGGAGTATAGTGAAGATTCTAGCTATCAGGTTTTTTTCTTATTTCAATATAATATATTTAATATATATAATATACAAGTAATTTTCAACCGATTATTCCTATGGCAGTGATTAGAAAATTATATATACTCCTTTTGCAAGATGTATCATAATACCTTCTGCAAGGGTATACAAATTCATTCGGTCCAGAGTTCCGTATTTCCGCCCCTTTTTTGTTTGGAGTTTGTACAGACGTCTGTTCGTAAACATAACCACATGGCCCAATTACAAGTATACACAGCATAAATAAATGTTCTTGAATGGGGTGGGTTGGTGTTACATGATTCCTCGATTAAATTGTCAAGTGCTTGCGATACTTGTAATTACATTAGTGAATAAATAGATATATACATTGAATACAAAAATGTAGATATTAAACGTCATGGTTTTATTATGCTATAATATTTATTGCTGTAATGTGGGGTTACCACTTAAATACTTGAAATTCGAAATATCTTAATGAGATAATGCAATCGTGCGCATATAAGACTGGATAAATCCATGTACACATTTAAAACCAAACAAATGTGTGCTTTCGACTTAAGATCAGTTTCAATTTCAAAAATGTATTGTAGTTGATTTGAGCTGCTTTTACATGTTCTGAGTTCTTAGCTAAATTATACCCTGAACCCATTAAAAATGAGTAAAAGGGGTATAATATATATTTGGGCAAATATATTTAATAGCAGGAGAAAGCATATCTGACCCTATTTGGCAGGTAGGTCCTTCTAGTGCCCGCCCAGTACGATTTTTGCTTCCGATAATCGATAACTTGTTCCGTTTCCAAGTAATCGATAAAAATCGATATTAAGAATTCTACTTTTGAACAAATCTCTTAGGTTTTTAGAGCTAGAGTCAACAATGTAGCTCCTAGAATAGTATATATCAAGTATCTTTCACTTATATAATCTTATGATTGAAAATTATCTTACCTATTATATTCAATAATGTCAATAACCTCTTAAATCAAAGAAAGGGCACCTTAAAGTTATGAAACATTATTTTTAATTTTTACAGAATAATTACATATCAACAAAGGGTCGTACAGGATGGCCGCAAGACGTTTGGGCATCAGAGCTGGTTCCTGAACATACATAAATAAAAAAGTATATATGCTAAATGTAGTAGCAATAACCCATCTCAAATTATTTATAATAAATATTCAAAAATCAAAAAATTTCATATTTTTATTTCGCGATTCCCATTTCCTAGTTATAATTGCTTTCTGTGTATATATTACTTGACACGGTTCGACGGAACGCTTGATGTTACTGGAGGTATTTACGAAAATATGATTAAGTATTTAATTATTTATTTCGACGTGCAGTTTTTCCTAGTTGCTCGTGTGTGGATGACCTGATTTATCGATAATTTTCAAAATATATCTACCTGGTCGCACATTAACACCACATCAGCATGGCGGATCGCCTTGACCGACCCCAAATCGATGGCCCTTGTTATCATACACGTAAACAAAGCAACCCATCGCCTTAAAGCTTTCATTCATTTTGCCAGCTTTGTCCTAGCTGAACCGCAGACATTCTCAGCGTGGTAACACCATATAGAGGATTCAAATCCAGAAATAATCGAATTTAGAATTTTTGATGCCCAGAGAGAAGACTGCTGAGAGTGTCAGCCGATGTTTGTTGTTTGAGTTCCTCGCTCTCACTCATTGCTTTGTGCATATATGTGCATCTTCTTCTCACTGCAAAGCTTTTTTTTGGATCCTATTGTGCCTGCGACAGCAGGTGTACGTTGCTGTCTGTTTCCCATAGGTGTCTAAAATGGAACTTAAGAACCAATAAAACCGAGGCGAGGGCTTGGCCCTTATTGCAGGCGCTGGATAATGGGTGACAAGTCATCGAACTTATATGACAGGAGCTGTACATAGAACTACGTCTGTTTGCGATTGTGGAAGTCGCCACACTCATGTTGCAGAGTTATTGGACATGCGAGCCTCCACCATTTAAAACGAGCATGCCATGAGTTGTCTGCTTTCGCGCAACTATCATCTATCAGCACCCTTGGCAGAGACATTTGGGAACCACGGTGCCACCAAACGCATGGGACAGAGTTTGTCGCGAATATACAAGCAAGAAACTGACGCAATCTCAACCGAAGAATCTCTGGGAGAGCATAGGACTTAGGCATTTCAGAACCGACTGTTGAGTACAACTACAACATGCTATGCAGCAGTTGCTGCAACAGGCGCAACAATAGAGGCAATATAGATACACTTAAATTTCCCTAAATTTCCCACCAGGCTTAGTGATACAAGCACCATTACCAGGCTCGAAACGCAGCCTATCCTGCCCGCTGCCGATCTCCTTCTGCTCTTCTATCCTGTCTCGCACAAGATTGGCTAAGTTTCGGGTCAATGTACTCCTCTGTCCAGGAAAATGTTGTTGTCCTCAAATTCAAATGTTAGTTTTACACAAATATTCTAAATTATTTGTATTTTATTTTATTCCCAAGAAAATAATATGATTTTTTGTTCTCGTCGCCTTGCAGCAGCTACTGGAAATGGCGTTTTGTAATTTTGTTATTTGCATAATTTTAAGATTTGTCGAAAAATATCAGAATTTAATTTTTATCGTCATTTATTGCTGGTGGACAGTAACACGTATATTGCAACCCTTTTTATAAAAGACTTTATTGTATCAATTTAATACGAGTGCCGGACGCGGCGTTCTTCATTCTCTTGTCCAGATGTTGCTTAAGTTTTGCAGTGCCAATTTTTTCTCATTTATTTCAAAATCCCTGAGAAATGTTCCTATCCCATACTGTTCCATACAATAATTAGCCCATAATTTTTAGTACATAAAAAATTGTCATTGTTTACGAAAATATAAAAAAACTTCTAAAAACACTGAAAACCATACTAATAGGGAAGTTTTTGAAATTCCTTGCAATTTTCGAGTTAAACCTATTTTTCCATTTTAAAAGAAGTTAGTTGTTGCCGATGTGAACATCAGTTTCACATCTTCAACAAATTCCATTTGTTCCCTGAAAATGTACTCTGTGTAAATTTATATAAAACTTGCGATATATCGATATTTAATAAACAGTTTTAGTGACATCGCTAATCTACCATCTCCATTCCACCTTCACTTGCATGACTTTGAAATTCTAAAATTTTTTGTTTGTAGTTTCAAAATGCCGTCTTTTAAAGGTAAGTCAGTAAAATATTAATATCTAATGTTGTTGCACAAATTCTTATTATCTATTAAGTGAAAGTCAAATGGGGCCGTGAGCTGTATCCAGATATTGATGTCAATACTGATGAAGAGCCCATACTATTTAAAGCTCAACTTTTTGCGCTGACGGGGGTTCAACCGGAACGTCAAAAAATAATGTGCAAAGGTGGAATACTTAAGGATGATGAATGGAATTTGCAATTAAAAGATGTAAGCTGTTCGACCTATTTAAGCATTGTCAATGACAGTTCTTATTTTAAAGGGAGCTGTAGTCCTGTTATTGGGTTCTAAGGACAAAGTTCCAGAAGTTCCCCAAACACCAATTAAATTTATTGAAGATATGAACGACGCTGAAGCGGCGACTGCGGTAACATCATTTGCCAATGCCAATTAGAGTAAGAGTTTTTCATTATCGACATGCAATTTTTAGATGCGTCTTCCGGCCGGTTTGACCAACCTTGGAAATACATGCTATATGAATGCCACTGTCCAATGTTTAAGAGCGGTGCCTGAACTGCGCAAAGCCTTGGAAAAATTTCAACCCGATGGCTCTGATGCCAGTTCATATGCTTTTACTATTTCATCGGCTATGAAAATAGTGTTTGCCCAAATGGAGAAGGGCACAACAATTACGCCAATTGTTTTATTGCAAGCCTTACATCGAGCGTCGCCGCAATTTGCCCAGACTGGCGAAAATGGAACCTATAGGCAGCAAGATGCTAATGAATGTTGGTCGGAAATACTGAAAATGTTACAGCAAAAACTTAAACCCATAAACCAAGAGTCTGTTGAAGTTAATGAAAAAAAGAAACATAAGTAAGTTACCGCTGAATACCTAATACACATTTAAATTCCATATTCCTTGGTCATTACAGACCCTGTTTTTATACTCTTGTAGAATGTGTTCTAAATTTATCATGAAATATGTAATCCATAGAAACAGAACTCTCCGACCTCACAAAGTCTATATATATTGTATATCAGCATCAACGGCCCAGAAGACGGGCGAACTCTCAAGACCAGGGCCTTAAGACTTCGAGACTAGTTGAAACAGACAGACGGACATGGCTGATCGACTCGGCTATTGTTGCTGATCAAGAATATATATACTTTTTGGGATCGGAAATGCTTCTTTCTGCCTGTTACATACATTTGCAACAAGCATTATACCCTTTAATTAGCAAATATTGGAAGTTTTAGTTGTTTTGTTAATGTTTGCCAATTGAATATTATTTTATTTATAGAAGAAAAACATTGCCTTTGATGTATCTTAATCACTTTTTGTAATCCTCTATTTTTTTTAAATATCTCTTTTGAAGCTCATTTATTGAGCAATTTTTTGGAGGAACTTTTGAAGTCCAAATGACTGCAGATGAGGCCCCCGATGAGCCTGCGACAGTTTCCACAGAAAATTTTTTGCAGCTCAGTTGCTTTATTTCTATGGAAGTGAAGTATATGCAAAGCGGCCTAAAATCGGTAACTATTGTTTAATATATATATATAGCTTTAAGATCTATATTTTTTGTTTTTCTAATAGAAAATGAAAGAGCAATTGGTTAAGAATTCGGCCACGCTAGGTCGGGACGCACATTACACAAGAACTGTAAGGCCAAAAATGTCAAAATTGACAATAATTAAATAATCTTTAACGTTTTATAGTATTTGGTGAGTCGACTTCCAGCATATCTTACTGTCCAGTTTGTCAGATTTCAATATAAAGGAAAGGAAGGCATTAATGCTAAGGTCTTGAAAGACATTAAATTTCCAATTGATTTTGATGCCTTTGAGTTGTGCACACCTGATTTGCAAAATAAGTTGTGCCCGATGCGATCCAAATTTAAAGACCATGAAGACAAAAAAGTGGATGTCGTGTCGCAGATAAATAAAACTGCAAAATCGCCGGATGTCGACGAAGAGAACGATGAAAACAAATATGAACAATTCTGGTTTGACGACGATTTGGGCAGCAACAACTCTGGCTATTATACACTAAAAGCAGTCTTAACTCATAAAGGTCGCTCAAGTTCATCTGGCCATTATGTGGCCTGGGTACGTTCAAATGCCGATATTTGGTATAAGTTCGACGATGACGATGTAACATCTGTTACCACCGATGAAATTTTGCGACTTTCCGGCGGTGGTGACTGGCATTGCGCTTATGTTTTGTTGTATGGGCCTAAGCGTTTAGAGAAGTGCTAGTATGCTGCATATTTTTTCTATTCAGGTTTGCAAACTGATTGTTAATCCATTTTATAAATCTATATGATTAAAGAAAAAGTATATGGTAGCATAAAAATATATGCAACGTTTTCGAACATGCAAGTTTTTGGGTATTACTGCAAACGAACCTGCAGCATAAATAGTATATAATATATAAGCAAGGAATGAGAGCTATCTGTGGCTCCTGAAAATCAAATACCTTTGCGCTTGCATCAATCGTTCCTGTGGAGACTATATGATATAGTTGTTCGAAGATCATAAATAAATAATAAATAAATTTGACAGCGGAAATACAATATCGGTTCGGCTGTTGAGGCTGTTTAAGAATATACACATTTACTTTGTGAAGTCAAAGGATTCTTCTGTTCTCACACATTAAGTGAGAACATTTGAATATCCTCGCAAACGGTATAGACTATTGGTAAATAAAATTAGTGGCTGTTAGTGAAGGGAGAAAAAACGCATGGGTTGAATTAATCGCTGAATAAGAGTCAAGTGCATAAGTTTTAGGCTATGCCTTTTCAGTGGCCCGAAGTGACTCCTAGTTCATCTATTTGAACAACCAGCGTGCCCGAAAGGCAAGTGGCAAAGATGAAGTAAGCCAAGCAGACTGAAAAAAATGTTAGTTTTATAATTAAAATTCGACAGGGTTTGTGACGGCGAAAACATAACGAGCGAGCGGTATGAAAGCAGATATGCTGCCCGCTTGAACTCTTTCCGCTGCTGCGGTGGTTAAGAATCCCCGGTGATAATCTGGGCGGTCAGAAATTCGTTGCTGACCATGCTTTTCCAGACTTGCTGAAAACTCTTGCAGCTGGATATCAGAACCAACGAAATCTGTCACGTTATCGAAAAGTTCTTTCTCCGGAATCCCTTGCCGAATGCAATCTTTGATAAGTCGATTGTTTTGGAGGCAAAACAAACATAAAGACCCACGTATGAGATAAGCAAAAACAATTTAATCGAGAAAGTCCCCACAGGCCATCGCTATCGAATTTTATTATTTATATTTATATTTGATTTCAACTAATCTTTGAATTCGAAAATGCATAGTCACGCTTTGGAACTTGTGACTCCGATAGATGCGCATCCCTTGAATCTATCGATGCCTTTCTACTGCACTGAACATCTTCAATTGGCAATTTTTAATAATTTATTTATTTTTTAATAATTTATTGCTATCTGTTACACATTTTACAAAAATATGGAAAATTCAAAAAGAAATTTTTTGTATAATTGGCTTGGGGTAACAAAACCGATTAGCTTCCGAATTTCGTAATCAGGAATACCCTTACCCTTCCATTATTTAAGAATGTGATTATTTATATTCGATAGAAATGCTAAATAAACATTAAGAAATCGATGCATCTTTATTAATTCATTTAAAGTACAGACCAAAACAATAGAAAAACGTTTTAAAATTGTTAATTATTGTTAATATAATGGATTGTGATAGTATTCAAATGGCAATGACGGAAGAACATCAACTTACAGTAAGTATTTAACTCCTCAAAGATGTAAAAACCTATTGCGCAGTATATTTTTGTTTACCCTGAATTACATACATACACACACATACACATACATACATATCTATGCATGTTTTTGTATGCCGTACAGGGAAGCTGTCATTTTTACTGTAGTAACCTTGTGTTGTATGAAAGTGAGTTGTTTACCATTTGATGAATTCATCCCTCCTTGGTAAAAATGGTGGTCACAGATTTGTTAGGTGAAGTTGACGGTTCAAATTAATTTTCAAGGGTATTCATGAAAAACCATTTAAGACGCGTTTCATACATATCGCAGAGTCTAAGAATCCAAGTTCTTTGTGAAAATTCATTTGAGACGTGTTTATCAACTAAAGTTGAAGAACATATTTTCTTATAATATAAGCCAGCCATGAATACTCTTAAATATACGTTCTTGTTTCATCATAAAGCAAAAATATGTGTGTCAAAATGGCTGTTTATATAATTTAATTATCATATATTTTAGGAACGCAAGGAGTGTGGACGCAGGGGACGAAAGCCTGGCCGAAAAACATCATCTGAAAAAATTGACATAAAAGCAAAATTGGGTAAAATTTGAATTTTAAAACTATTTGGAATGTTTTTTTTTTTTATCCAAAAAAAAACATTTTTTGTTGTGTTTAGAGCGAAGCAGACAAAGTGCAAGGGAATGCCGCGCCCGCAAAAAGCTTCGTTATCAATACCTTGAAGAGCTAGTTGCAGATCGTGAAAAGGCAGTTATTGCATTGCGCGCTGAACTGGAGCGAGTTGGTTAATATAATATTATTTGCTTTAAAGCACGATTTTAATCGTTACCTTTTTGATTACAGTACATGCAATGGGGTAGACAATTGGACGAAAATACAAGCCCCAATGAAGTGAATCAGTTGCTTAAAGATATTGGTATTCTTAAACAGGAAATATTTGCTTAAATTTAAGAAAATGGCTGCAAATGTTCATACTACTATTTTAATTACTCTTTTTTAATAAATATACATATATTATAATAAATTGATATTTATTTTATTGGGCGAATAGGAAACTAGCGAGGTGTGGAGAATATGAGTGAAGGCTCACGAGGGATTGATGGACATGAACCATGGCAATCCTATTTGTGGCTATTTTGATAAAAATCGTTTAGATAGAGTAATTATTTCTGACCTCGGATTCATTGTGAATGATAGAGCATAACAGCAAGTTCAGAGTCAGCATTAATACATCATGGATAAATGTTTGCTAAACATATTAACGTATATTTTTATACACTGTGTGCGTATTGAAGCTGCTGCGGGTTTTATGTCGGACAAGTGGGACAAACATATCTAAAAGATCAATTCGACATAAATATATATATTTTTTCCACATAGACAACCCAAATATTTTCTGCATTTCTTGTGCCTAAGCATTTGCCGTGCCAAAATCGTCTCATTTATTTCAACATCTCTGAGAGATGTTCCTATTCCTAAATGTTCCACATTATTTAGCCGATAGTTAATGAATCGTGACTCAGGAATGGTTGCTGTTGCTTTCGATATGTACATCACTATCGACTTGGTCATACAATTTCTCATCTTCAGTGAACAAAATTGTCTAAGAGAGCTTTCAAATATTTTGGCGTAATTGAATTAAACTTAAATGGACTCAGCAGTGGGACAGGCTCCAGAATCAACAGCGGAAGACTTGCGACGCGAAGCCCGTCGAAAGAAAATATTGCAAACCGCCAAGGCCCGGCTAGATAAATTAAATGGTCTAGCCAGAGCAGCTGAAGTAAATTATGTTGGTAAGCACTGGCAACATAACAACTGCACGAAATGTTCATATATTAGATGTACTACATTACAAGACCAATTATCCCCGATACCCAATAACACATTGATATATTTTATATGAATCTACAAAAAATCTATACATTTTGAGTGGCATAATTAAAAAAAATGTACTATGTACCAAATGTTCATATTTTTAATTCAGCAACAAAATATCCGTCCGTTTCTTTGTATATGCTGCATAATATACTAGTCACATGTTTACTTATGTTTATAGAAAATATGTTCTTTAAGTAACATATTTAGCACTACTGAGACTTAGTGCATGTTTATTTACGACAATAATTTCTCAATCTTTGAACTAATTAAACTAATACAGGTAATATAGGTAATATCCGCCTGTCTGTATGAACGGGTCAAACCAGATTCAGAGCACAGGTCAAGTTATCGATAACCACCAGATCAAGTTATCGATAACCACCAGGAGGGCCTTCGTTCAAAATTTTAAGTCTAGCTTTTATATATATTGGACTATTGTTACTGAGTTCAATTATATATAACTTATGGGGTCCGAAATGCTTCCTTCTACCTATTACATACACATAGATATATAATTTTTATGGATTTGCGATGGATTCAGGGTATACAAAGTTGTGGTCCACTATTAAGTGGTATTGGAAATGGCTATAATGGTTTTGTGTGTGCATAACAGGCGGAAGGAGGAAGGATGCGACCTCATAGAGTGTGGGAAATCGAGTCGGTCTAGCTTTGTCTGCATATTCGTATGTAACAACGCGTCCATCTCAGAGACCATAAGAAGTAGGGAATTTTCTATTTTGGATAGAAATTGAATAAAGATCGGCGAACAAACACCGAACAACAATTCAGCAACAATTGAACAACGAAGCTGGAATGTATATAGAAACTGCTCATCTCCTAGTCGGCTGGTTAAAATATTCTGGATGGGGCACGAATATGGACGAGGGACTATGAGGACTATTATTTATATTGTTCAATTGCACGTTGAACCTTTCTAAAGTTTCCATGTTCGTTAACACATGTTTCTACAAAGCCCGAAAATCTGCCGACCATAACACTTAACTCTATTAATTTTAAAAAAAGCAGGCAATCGTGCCTGAACACCAAAAATTGTTTGCATTATCTATATTAGTTATTTGCTATCCAGATGTGAAATCACTAAGAAGAACACCCTTAACATAATTTTAAATGTAATAATAATAAAATATTCACCGTTAATTGTATTACAGATTCTCCAGCAACCGAAGAATTGGATTACTCAGATCCTGAAGTAGAGCCAAGCGTTCCTATCATAACTACATTTGCTCAACAAGATAGAATTTTTTATTCAGCAACGAACGTTTCTCCGAATAACGCGGATGTCCCAAATAAGTTTGTAACAGGCAGGGTCCATATTTTTATAGCTTCAATTTTAGGATATATTTTATCACATTATGTTAAAAATTCTCTTTTTGTTCCAGTTTTCTTATGTATATTAATCGAAATATTTTATCTGAAAGGGCATCAGAACCCGCAAAATAACATTCTTGCCTTAATATTACCTGTTGCACTTTTGTTCACAGGTGCTTTTGTAGGTAATAAAATCAGGCAAATTAATCGTCTTCTCTCCATATTACAATCTCTGATTATTAATCTAGCAGTAAATATATTCTGTATATGCTTAAGTAGTTTTTTATTCAAATTAAAGAGTGTAAGTCATGTTGCTGATATAAAATAAAAAAATGTTCAATTGTTATATAATTTATTTGCAGACTATTATTATGGGGTCTGCTGTATTTTTAAAGCAAATATTCCTATTGTATCTCATAACCAGCAAACGGCGCGTAAAATCTGTATATCGCAGTATTTACAGTCAACAGCCCTAGCTCTATACTCTAGTTAATGCGGAAAGGCATTCGCCAACACGTTAAAAGCTAGAAAAAAGATTGGCAAGTCGGGATAAACGGATGTGAAAATAGCTACTAAACCTACAGACTTCATATATACTGTGATTATGCTGACAAATACTAAATTGCAGATGTGCAAATGAAGACCCCCTATAGAGATAGAAACATAAATATATGATTCAAAATTTTAAAAACTTATATTTCCCAAAGTCAATATTTTGAAATCATTGCTTTTTAGTTATAATCTAAGTCTCCATTTCAATAATGAGAATGACTTCGACTGATTCAAAAGGTATGAACCTTGGCAAACAAGGTCGCGAACCAACAAAAATAAATACCAATTTATTTTCTATTTACAATATAAAATAAAAAAAGGTTAGAATTTGAATACTAGTTTTTCAAAATGATTATAAAATATGTATATATTTTTTTTACATTACCAAGTAACTAAATAGTTTTTCACAATACTATTTCCAAACGTACTGACGAAATCTCTCAACATGTCTATAAGAGCTATAGGACTGCAGCCTCCTACGCTCTCAATCGAAGATGTTGGTTCCGCAGAAGAGGGCCCGAAAAAGACCACTGGGGCATTGCTTAATTGCGCTCAGCTCCGTGGGTGCACCTGAATTCTAAAAGCGTCTTTGTAAAGCTGCCGTGCATAGAGAAGTTATTGTAAACTTTACTCTGACTAATTGCATCGTCAGATCAGAGAGCTGAAAGTTGCCAAAGTACTCCCACCGAAGCCAAGGACACGCTTGGACGATAATTCCCAGGCGCGTCAAAGAAACGGAAGAGTACTTATTCAGGGTAAACTGTGCCATTATATCATCTTGGCTGTCATGCTATCCGCTTAATTCGGCCATTTTAAAAACTGCAGACTGAGTGGTAAATGGTCTGTTGTGAGAATATTGCAGCCGAATGGGTCAGACGCAACTTTCGTCGCTTTAAGTTCGCTTAGAATGGAACTGTTACAGATGAGTCTATTCCCCCGGGAAGACCAACCAGATTTGGAACTGCTTCGGCAGAACTACACATTTTTCTAAATATGTCCCTTTTGATATCGGCTAATGCTATATCCCCCTCTTTTGAGGTGCAAGCGAATCCCCACACCACTATCGTGGAAGTCGAGATCTTGTTCAGGTTTTGCAAAAAATAGCTGCCTCATTAAGAACCAGCTAGAACTATTGCTTTGGGAGTGCTTTTTGCAGAGAGTCAATCGCTATGCTGCGCAAGAGAGGCGAAACTGCCGTTTGCAGTGAAAAGACAAAAATACTGACTGGAAAATCACCAATTTAATGAATAATCAAATATATGTGAAACTTCATGTTAATAAATGAGATTAGAATGGATTAAAGTCATATTTATTAATTGAGACATTTTATCCATGCTAAACGCTTGTCTTGAAAGATTGTTTCTTTTCCACTCAGATGTTGGCTTCAAGAAGGCTTGTGACAATACTTTGACGTGGTTTGCCTCAACTAAAAATCTCGGTGGTTGAGAAAGAGGTGATAAAGTGTAGTATTTACATATATGTTTATATAAAGGTGAGGGTTTTTGTTCACGTGTGTATTCGAAAATTTTGTTTGCTAACTTGGGCTTCCCATCTGGCTCTTTGAGGGCAATTCTGTGACTAACCTTACCATCGATAGATTCATTGAACAATATTGAATCCATATTCTCTGCCGATAATATTTAAAAACTCAACAAATACATTATTGTACAAAAATAATACTTGATGTAACGAGTGATAAAGCAACAATTGATATTATGATATTACCATGTCTTGCGCAGAACATTAATGAAAGCAAATTTATTTAGGATGAAATACAAGAGTCGAGCATACTATATGAAGATAAACGGGTTTCAAGTTAATCTATTAAGTACATTCGCTGAACATAAATGTGCCCAAATCAAAATAAATAATGTCAAAACTAACATTGTGTTCTGCCACAATAAAAGAAATGAGAGAAAATGTGTTCATTCCACCGTTCCAAAAAAAGGGTAGCTTGACAGGAAAGTTGTTGAAGAAATGTTATTGAAATACTCGAATTAATTTGGTTGCACTAGTTTATACGGTAAAAATAGCTAATAAGATATGGTCACCCTGAATGAGAATTCTTGATGTACATACAAAAGCGATCTAAAGTGTAGTACAGAAAATATTGATTTATAATTATCTGTACAAAGAAAGATATCTTTGTTTATACAACATGACTGATCAACGGGGGACTAGAGTTTATGTCGGTAATTTAACTGATAAAGTTAAGAAGGACGACTTGGAAGGCGAATTTACAAAGTATGGAAAACTGAATTCAGTATGGATTGCATTCAATCCGCCCGGATTTGCGTTTGTTGAATTCGAGCATCGTGATGATGCCGAAAAAGCATGCGACATTTTAAATGGTTCAGAACTGTTGGGCTCCCAATTACGCGTGGAAATTTCGAAGGGTCGACCTCGGCAAGGCAGGCGAGGTGGACCTGGCGACAGAGGACGCCGCAGCGATGTCGGCAGACATAGCATAACAAACAGCAGTAGCAGCGGTGGATTCAGACAACAGCGAGGCTCCAGTAGCTCCAGTAGTCGCAATTTCGATCGCAGTTACAGTTCCGGTCGCTCAAGCGCCGGCTATGGCGGTGCCAGGGACGGAAGTACTAACGGATTCAGTCGTCGCGATGTCTATAATGGCGCAAGGGAAAGCAGCCGTTACGGTGGTGGATCTAGTGGATCCAGCTATGGCCGGAATGGTGGAGGACAAGGTGGAGGACGCTTCAGATCTCGGTCACCAGTGGGCAACCATCGATTCTAAAACCCAACCTTTCAATTTGCAGCTGTTAATAGAACAATATTAAACGTCTGATACGACCCAGCTACCAAATGAAATCATTGCTAATATGTACATACATATTTTAAAAACAATTTTTAAGATTTGGTTTATAATCAATAAGGAATGCATTCTATTAAAACTAACTTCTATGCTAGGAGATCAGCTTTTGGAAAAATATTCGAATACTATTTATTTAACATACAAATTGCATCAAAGTAAATTTTTATATATTCAAATTTAAGAATTAAATTAGCCAACTATAAAAAAAAATAATTAAGTTACATATACTTAACAAAGAAAAAACAATATGGAATAAGTTTTTGAACGCCTAGAATACGAAAATCTAATAAAGTCAAATCCATATTTCATACTTACGTACGCAGAGTATAGTATATAGAACTTATATATTTTTTTTTTCTAATTATCATTCGTGCACATAAATTTAAAATGAGAACTTAGATTATCTAAAGGATTTAATACCCTTGCAAACATTTGCCTTGCGGTTCTGCAGTTATGTGAGAATAGTCTAGCTATTAAATATATATATATATATATATATATATGCAGCCTAGTAGGATAGTTTATCAGGTTTGATCAAGATATATTGGTAAACAAAACGTTTTTGATATAAGCAATTAGCAGCATTACTGTGTTCCGATGTTCGAATTTTTCATATATGCATATATATAGGGGCATAATAAAACTAATAAACTCCGAGTTTATTGAAGATATCCTGAAAAGCAAAATAGTTTTTCTTACATGTATCTACTTTTCGACCGATCGTTCCTATGGCAGCTATATGATACAGCGGTTCGATGTTGATAAGACTTTGCATATACATGAGCTATCGCCGGACTATGGGCGAGTTTATTTGCCAAATAATCAAGTTTCACTTTAGCAACTTTCTTAATTACATTTGGCTGCACCGACGGTGTCAACAAATATTGGACTATCAGAAGCTAGCCCTAGTCGGATGTCCTCCAGCATAATACCGAGCTTGCGCCTCTTGCATCGCCCATATTATGCTTCAGCAAATCACAACAACATTGTTTCATAGGGATCAGTGTCCAACTTAATCTCTTATTTTTATAGTATGTTAACCTATATGCGAGGAGCATAGCACAGCTTATAAAAGCTGCGTTGGTTCAGTTATCCACGCAAAAACAAACTTTTCGAGCGATCGTTCCTAGGACAGCTAACTGCAAAGTGTGAGACAAATTTGCATAGAAACAGACCGACGGATATGGCTATATCGATTCGGCGGTTGATGCTGATCTAGAATATATAACGTTATGGGGTGCGAGATGTCTATATATATATTTGAAAATTGATTTTTGTTATTTATCGATATTTATCGATATTAGCAAAATGAAAGAGAACGCCGTAATGGGCTTAAAGCGAAACTGCTTAAGGAGTTTGGCAGTGCTACATCTGCCCGAGTGAAGTAGTCTGCCATCTATCAGGGTGAATATGTACAGCACTAGGCTAAATATGTCAGCTGGGAGCCAAGCCTTAGTTACGCAGTTATAATAAACAAAGCCCATAAATTGCAAATATTCAATATTCGGTCGCCTTTTGTCCCTTTCACGTTTGGAAGGTCGATGTACTCAAATCGGAATACGCGCTGGCTCCATCAGATGTGACTGACTCGTCTGCATAACATACCAAGCAATAGGAATTTTTGCGCTTGGTTGTCTTTAACGAATTAGTTGAGTCATCCAGAGAATAATCGAAAGCATCGTATTGAGGATTCTACCTTATTCCAATAGAGTCTGTTATAGGATTAATTTAATCGTCAATCAGCACCCCCTTGGAACATCAATTCCTCAGTTTTACCTCCATGAAGCTGGGGACTGATAGCCCCGGACAAACATAATGTTCAACTAGGTGCCCATTCATACACACCCCCCATGTTGGAACCCCTCATTCGTACCTCCACATTTGTTCATCTACTATCCATTATCATAAACACAATTCTTTCCTCTAATGCAAACGACGCCTAGCAAATGCAGCTCTAACTAACTCACTAATTCTTCTAATCCTATCTCTAGTGGAGAGTGATTGACTCACGCCAAGCCCGCCATTAACCTCTAAGACCACCATCTTCCAAAGATCTCGAAGAGCAGCTTATCTTGAACACTGGCAGAATACATGCCCTCATGTCTCTGCAGCCACGACGGCATTCTGGACACTCGCAAAGCCTCCTCGAATGCAAAAATGCATTGAGGGAACCGTGACCAGCCAACAGGAAACCAAGACTCAGGCAAAACCTATAGTCACGCCCATTCTCACTTGTGTCCTACCTGGCATGCCAGTCAGACAACAAACTTTTCCACCAATCTCTTGCACTCACTAAGCCCTGAATTCTCCACATACCTATCCGCTGCTAAATAGCAACAATGGCAGCCGCCTCCTGATCCTGTACTTCAAGGCTCAACGCCAAGTCAAGAGGGGCTACTCCTAACAGGGGCTGCCTACGGGGAGACATTGCGGCACACAGGCAAACAATGTAGCAAGATCACCCTCTGGCAAGCCAGCATGACTGTGTAGGTAGCTCTTACTCCTCAAAATACGAAGCACTTGCCCCACCAAACCGGTAGCCGAACCGTGACTCGCCTCGCCTCTCGTCGAAGGTTATGCCAAGGTATTTCACCTCATTCGCATACCTAGTCGACTAGATGCCAATCTGCCCTTGAGTATCTTGTCTTGTTCATTGCCATACTGACCCCAACACTTTCACTCCACTCATACATAGTGCGCAAGCATATAACCGTATTCGTCTCAAGCTCAAGACGCGATCGACCCTTAATCAAGACGAGCATCGTTTTCTCGAGCTGCCCAAGAAAGGTTCAACATCAAAGGGTCAGGCTTAGACCCCTGCGGGCAGTTACGAATCACATCTTCACTCCACATTCACACTACCCTACAGTACACGCACGTCTGCCAGAGAAATAGCTCTTTCAGAGAGCAAATTTCCGGCACCCACATTCACCCAACCTTCTCAATACACTCGCCCAACTCAGGTATCAGCAAAGATGCCTAGCACATGGGTCGGTTGTTTGGATGAGACCCCGTCTTACTACTGCTAATAATACTATCCATCTAATTCTAAAGAGTGTATTTACAATAAAAATTCTCTGTCACTGTCAGCTTAGTAACAAAACCATCCAAGCTGCAATTAAGTCTATTTACGCGATATCTATATTTGTACTATTCTGACGAAAGTCAGACTTAAAACTGTACTGACGAAAATGTGACAGCTATATTTAGCGTTAGCACCTGCATCTAGCACCAAAATGAAATTACTTGCAGTTCGTTTGATCGAAATTCCCATAGATATTATTTTGCGTTGAAAACGTGTGCTAATAAGCAAGATTTCACAAATAATACTCTCTATTTTGGGTGTAATAAGCGACGTTGTCCACTAAAGGGGGGACAACATTATTTTAGTTCGGGGTAAGGGCCAAATTCTCCAGTCACCGAATCGCTTCTTATAGACGCGGAGATGTTTTTGGTTCGGAACATGCGAACGTTCCACATTCCGCTTAACCGAGTCAAATTCGATTACATGATCGAATTAGTCTTAATTGAGGAGAAATATACCAGTTCTTTTTTCAGTTTCCCAAAAATTCGAAGTAAAAAAATTTGCAACTGAATTTAGTTGAAAAACTAAGCATTTTAAAATAAAATTTCTAAAAATTCAAGACGCTTAAAATTTTTTTAATCGGTTATGAGATCCTCGTGTGATGATCAAAAATGCAGGTTCACTTCCGAAAAAAGAAAAAAGAGAAATACTACATTTAAATACTACATCATTAACAACGTTAGTGTTCAAACGATCAAAATGAATGAGAATGGCTTAGCGAATGATTTTGCGACTCGAAGGTACAGGCCGAATGATGACAGGACTCACGAACGATTAACGATAGACTGGATCTTCATTCGTTCACTTTAGTAAGTAGTTCATTTGAACTTATTCAGAACGATTCGATACAACTCAGTACCATTAAAAATTGATTGAATCACCCTGTGCAGTTCATGTTAGACATTATTATTGACAGATAACTCGAGAATTTACTTAAAAGTGCATGGGCTATTCTTTAGGTTTTTTATTATATTTTATGATCGTAAGCTAATAATGTCAAATTCGTTATTTGTGATTATTTGGTGATATATGTATATATGAGCGATAAAAAACAAAGTTTTAATTCCATAACAAAAATGTTGACATCTTCAACTCAAATATTAATAGCAATGAAAACAGCCCAAAATTGAATAAAATCAGTGTTAAATCTTCTGAAGGCGATAAAAAGGAGTTGTAGTGTGTTACATGTATGTAAATACATCAATTCAAATTAAACATATGAAGTTTATATGCAAAAAAGAGTTGGACTTATTGCCTATTTGCTTTGACATTCTAACTATTTGTTGGCGTACGACTTTTGTAGTTTGTTTTTCCCTTACATACCTACTATTCCCTTAGAATTGTTATAATTTTGCGACTGCTGGTATATGTACTTGCATGAATTTCTAAAAATGTGTGAGTGTTGCGTATTTACATATATATACATATAAATATATACATATATATACACATATATATATTTATGCTACACATACAAGTGTCTTATGTACATTATGAGGCAATGTATATGGATTGTTTTGTAGTGCACATCAAAGAACCATAATTTGTTATATGTAAGTATTTTACAAGTTTCGCAGAATCTCCTTAATCCCTTGTTTAAAATGAACAATGTATACATAGGCTCACACACAAGCGTGTACATACATATGTGTTCTGATAGCTAAATGCAAATGAACATGCAAGTTAATATATGTATGTTACCAAATGCATATATAGTTCGTTGATCAATCGTTTACCCAAAAAACCTTCAAGAATTGTTCAAAATCATATACCTAAGCTTACAATCAGTGGCGTTACTTTGAATAGAAAATAATTTCCCTTTCCGAACGATTTATTTTGTTTATAGAGCTGAGCTCAAAATATCCTTTGATTTGCAATTAAATGTTAGCAGCTACTAAAAAGTGTTCAAAATGTAACTGGTTTCCACTTTTCGTAATCTGTTCATCGATAATTTAAGATCGGTGGTACGTTTCGATTTCGCATGCCCACAATATCCTACCATCCTACCAATAATGTCCTCGTACAGCGACTAAAATATTCTTTGGCTTCTGCTTCTTCCTATTCTTGCACATTGGCTGCATGCGAAATGCAAAAAATGGTAACGGCGGTTTTCGAATGTATACATTGGTATTTTTGGCATGCGTTTGTAGCAAGTTTTGGAGCATTTTTGATCAATTTGGCATCAGATATTGGTCCAAAATGCCAGAAACATTTGTAAGCCTTGAGGAACGCCGGCCAATTTTAAATATGCACGTCAAACAACGGAAATCTTAAACAGAAATTGCGAATAACTAATGTCGCAGTCGCTCCACCGAAGTATGACAAAATCTAGGCGTCTGCAAAGTTTGCCTAAATGCTTGCCGCGGATCCATTTACTAGCGCAAGTTACATTAGTGCGGAGCTTCAGAAACAAGTGCACCCCGAGACTGTCAGAAAAACCGCGTAGGGGATGCCGGGTACAAATCTCGTACACCTCGTCACAAATCTTTTGTGTGTGCTGGATACGTATCCGTATCCGTATTAACGCGTCCATCTGAGAGCCTGTAACAGCTACGGACTTGACGTAGGTTCTCCTTAGACCCACCCGCGTAGTACGAGGTTGTTTCTAATGATGGTTAACTTGCAATGCCGCGCACAACAGACTAAGTAAAACGTATTCTAAATCACAAATACAGCATAAAGCTACAATACGTGTTCCAGCGATTTTGCAGATGCCACCCGCAAATTTCGTATACATGGTTAAATTGTCAGAAACAAATATGATGGGAAGTGGGTGGAAATCGAAAATGTTAGGCAAGAAACATTAACATACAAGGACGGGAAACACCTGCCGATATACTATATTAAGGCTGGAGTAAGAAAAATTGATTTTCAAACATAAACGGAGTTGCTCGGAGTACTCATCACTAGGAAGAGTAACGCGCGGACATTTGAATGCATAACTTCTAGCCTGGCTTTTCGTTCTTTAGACGAACGAATGTCGAAGTTGCGGCTTGTTGATGTTGACACGAGCAACAAAATCAGACGCCAGACTTCTGTTTTTTTTTTTTTTTTCGAAGTATATTGAGCGAAAAAGTTGTTTACTAATGAACGACGCTTCGTACTTTTCCTTTATCCATGATATGCATGCTCTATGACAATGCTATATTACCTTAAATCCATTTTTATTGTAAAGGCAGATGAAGAAATAATAAATGTTTATCCTTGTGCAATACATTTTATTTTTGCAGAGTGTATGCTGGAGAAGGCGCACACAAAATATGTGTTGTTATTCACTGCAGTCGCTTTTGCTGCCGATGAATTCATTTTCTAGCGTTGACCAAAACCTATCCCAAATGTGTATTCTCATTTGTACGTATTTTGTCTACTAAGGTTGGCTTGGCTGAGAATCAAAGCTAATATTTACAAAATTCACTTAAATTGAATTATTAGTTATTATTTTTATTATTTCTCAACTAAGAGAGTACATTATTTTTTGATTATAATTAATATATGGTTAGTGGTTAGTGATGATAGTTACATTTAAATATGTTTTCCTTAAGTTTTTATGTTAAGCTTTGGAAATATGTTTGGAGTCGATCACCTAGGTGTCAAATTTTCAAAACTTCCGGAAATTTTGAAATACATCTTCAGAACGATCTTTGGAAAAGAGGTTAAGACCGATTGTATGGTAAACTACGAGTTCAAAAAGTTATAATCAGTTTTTACAGTTGCGATACATTCTCAAAGCTCCTTTCGGCATCAGCATCCTAGCTTTTTTGACTGTGCGTCGATCAAATATATATATATATATATATATATATTAAGGGAACGACTGAACTGTTAATTAAAATCAGTGCAGATTCGCGGTAGTGGATTTACGAACCTTTAAAAAAAGGGTCTAAAGAAGATAACGCTTATAAGGATTAGGTATATTTAATTTTCTAGGCTTTAAGCCTTTAAACTTTTAAGATATTCACATTCATAAATAAGATAAGATAATGATAAACTGTCAATGAGAAACTCATTATCCACCCAGTGAGCCGTTGAAAGGAGAAGCACGGCTGCGTGCGACGTACGTACTTGAGTGTGTGTGCATCCATATCCCCATTGACTAGAGAAAACACTAGCTTCATATTGTAGTTGATTGTGCATTAGTAACTTCCATATTTATAAAAAATGCTAATTAGTTTATGTAGGTAATACTTAACAATTTTTGTAATCTTTTTATTGCAGGTGTTGCATGTTCTCAACAAAAATGGTTTATTCAGGAACGCTTGTAATAAATATATTGATATGACGGGACATATTAATAATGAAACAGAAATTGAAGCATATAGTTATAATAAAAAACAAATTATAATTTATAAAAGACAACAATCATCATATTTGGAGACCAATATGGCAAACACAATATCTATAATGTCCAATGCGTTACGAAATGTTGTGAGCAAAAAACGCAGACGCTACAAGGAAAAAGGATTTAATTTGGATCTTTCGTGTAAGAATTACTTTTGCATTATTATTTATATATTATTAATGCTTAACAATATGCAAACCTTACATAACTAGAGCATTTTAAGAGATTCCATAAAAATACATAAACCTTCTTAATATAAACGTTTGCCATATATTACCCTATATATTATTTATATTGCCTGGTGGTCTATCGGATATTCTATTTTCTCTTGTAATTGACCGATCACATAGGTTTATTTTCAGGACTTCAATTACACAATAAGGTCATTAGCAACAAGCGCGAAGATAGTTCGAGGGCTTTGGCTTGGCTAGAATACCATAGTATACTTACTACCCGGTGCGAAAGTCGAATAGGTGGAACTAGGCGCCGTCTTAGACCTTAGCTAGCGCCGACAAGAGATTAATAGATCGTTATAACACGGCTCAACGGAGCTAACGGTGCAGTTGGTTCAAAAGTTAAATACATAAGGCTTTCGGACATTCTGAACACCAACCCCACCAACTTATTGTCAAATTGCACTCACCCTTAAATTAGGCCTTTAGCAATCGTAAAAATTGTTGGCCTACCTCGGCAATCTAGTACCTTGAGAACTTTTACTTCTTGCCACTTTAATGTGCCAAATTTTCAGGTGATAATGGGACACACGGTACGACTTATCTTACGCTGCCCTGCCTATCTGGGGCTGTTACGAGGTGCGATGGTGTTTACTTTGCTGGACACTGTCAACCTCAAAGGATGTCAGATTTGCCTGTTGCTTCAGCTCGTAAAACTTGACAACTCAGGCGCTCCCAATGACATCTTATCTGCTGATCCGTCCTGATAAGGTTAAACTCGAGCCGGTAGGCTTCCATTGGTACCAGACGCTTTCGCTTCTGATTAACAGGCTGGCCAACACAAGCTTCTTGGCTTAATCAGCTGAAAGCCAGCGTAACAATGCAATCTATCCCGACGTCGTTGCACATCGATGTCCAATTAGACTCATTCGTAATACCCCGAAGTTGGAAAATCAATTACCCAAGTGCCCGTCTCCGCGATGGTGCTGCAGTCATCATCCGGTCGGTATATCTATCATTCTGCCCAACCAGTCTTTGTTCCTAGTAAACATCTGAGGAATACTCTAGCCTCTTTGGTGCTTTGGGTTTATATTGTCAGGGTCAACTCACTTTTTGATTGATCCAGCTGTTTGGTTTCGGCGATTGATTTTGCAATTTACAAAAGCACTTGGCGATAGCGACACGTTCGTCTAAGACTAAGTGGACTCCGTTCTTGGTGCCACATCATGTTGATGACTGCTTCGGAAAAGCGTGAGCTTTTATAAGCCTATGTCCCCGAAGAGCACTGGAGGGGGCTAGCACTGTTCCTGGCAGCCCAGGCGTGCTAGTCAGACAATCGCTATCGGAATTTCACCCCAGTCAGCCTGGTGTCCCACAGAGCTGTGTCTCTAGGCCACTCCTTAACACTGTGTACACAGCGGATTTTCCCATCAAAGACAGTCGAAGGACACTTTTAGCAACCTTCGTAGCCGATCTCGAATTTTTGGTAGCAAGCAGCAGCTCAACGGCCTTCAGGCTTGTGTTAGCTTAATTAAGCGAGGTCAAGTGCTGGTCCTCTAGATGCAATATCGCCTTCAATGTAAAGAAGACCCGGCACGCCAGGTTTGCGTCCTCATCGCTCGCGCCGGCTATGAACTGGAGACGGATCATCACAGTGAAAACGTCACCTACCTTAGTGTAACTAATTTTCAAAGAACTACATAAAAACTAAACGAATGCGTGTTACAGCGATTTCTGCGATTTCACCCGCAACTGTGGACATATATCGACAAAGTTGTAACTTTTTTATAATTGGATCGGGCATAGCGAGAATTTTGAACGAAGATATGGATATATTTGAATAAATAAAGCGGATACCTCGTTATAAACTGTTTTTATACCCTGAACCCATTAAAATATATCTTTTATGGATAAAGGTAAAAAACCCGATTTCCACAAGGTTTGAATTTTTGTTCATGGTCTGACCTCTTAATCAGTTTGGAATCTAAATCTGGCAACATTATTCTTGGTCAAAATTGATGTGAAAATGGTACCCTCAAAAATACTAATACACATGGACAAAATGTAGTATATGATTACCAATGTGTTTTATTCCTTTTATTTTAGATATATGCCCTAATATTATTGCGATGGGATATCCTGCGCCAGACATATTCGAAGGCATTTACCGAAATCGCCTAGATGATGTTTATAAATTTCTGGAGGAAAATCACGGAGATCATTACAGAATATATAATTTATGTCAAGAACGGAGCTACGACATTAATAAATTTCACAGGGTTAGATATACTAAATATAATATTGTCAAAGTTTGCATACAAATTAACATTTCTAGAGAGTTGCAACTTACCCATTTGAGGATCATAACCCTCCTACCATTGAGCTGATACAACGTTTCTGTCATGACGTTGACTCCTGGCTCAACAGAGACCCGTTAAATGTCGTAGCCGTGCATTGCAAAGCTGGAAAAGGAAGAACCGGTAAGCAAAACTGTACTTTTATATTACAGCATTACTTTTGAATTTTTATAAACTCGGTTCACAAAATAACTAACGAGTGTTACTTTGAATATTTAACTTTTTGAGGTCTAGTTTTTTTTAAACGCTATTTTAGTGCGCAGTTTGACCCAAGGTGCAACTTCTGTTTAACTCCTTGCAGTTTGCACTGTGCATTGTTTATCACTCACTTCCTATTATCACGTATGTATAGGCGAGTTTGGCATGTTTGTTATTACAATGTCCAATAACATAATTATATATGCATATACCTTTAGTCGGAATATGCAATAGAACTTGAGTGGTAGGGTATATTCTTCTCAGGGATCTTCGACTCATGCAATAAACATGTTAAGCTTAGACTAGCAACATATTACATGTTGGTTATATATTTCTTAACCTTAACTTAACTATATTATCCAAATCAAAGCCATCGATTCGAAGTCAAATTTGAGTTTTGAAGATGTCCTAAAAACTGCAGATGCACCAAGTCATCTCTTATAGGCACCATCTTTAATGTGAATTTCTAAATTTCTTAAGTACTTATACTAAAATATAGTAACTTATTTTTGAAAATTTATATTTAACAGGTACAATGATATGTGCATATTTGGTCCATAGTAAGCTGAAGAAAACAGCGGATGATGCGTTGGCCTATTATGACGAAAAACGTACAAAAGACCGGAAAGGAGTTACAATTCCATCTCAACGTAGATATGTTCAGTATTATTCAAATTTAATCCCAGGTGTACGATATGAAGTAATAAGTCTTTATGTAAGTATGCATTTCAATTTGTGTGTAAGATTCCCTCAACAATTTTGTTGTTCATTTTATAAAGATTTGTGAAATCCGTTTTACCGAGACAAATTACTTGCATAATCTTGGTACAGTGCAATGTTCAATTTCTGACAGGCAAGACTCTTCAACAGACAAACTTAAGGCGCATGTAAGTATATACATTTGTTGAAACAAACTAACATGTTTGGGTTTTGAATGTGAAATTATATTTTTAAAAAGATAATTAAAAATATTAGCAAATACTTCCTTTGGGCTCGTGGCTACGTAGACGAGTCCATATATACGTTTGTTTCTATGCTTTTGTTTGCAATAAACTACTTTGTTACTCTTAACTTGAGTAAGAAAAGAAGCGAATTGTCCCATTTTACAGTCCTTTTTTTTTATCCGAGTCGATCTAGCCATGTCCGTCTCTTTCCTCTGTATTGCAAATGATCGATCGCTCACATAATTTACGTGAAATCGATCTAATCGATTTTCCGATTAGGTTGTTTGACTATATATCGGGAGATGGAACTATGAAGTTAATCACGAACGCAATTAACGCATATAATCTGGGGTCAATGGAAGAAGAAGCACAACAATCAGAGACCCGACATTCCAATTAATCTGTTATCTTAATATTAGATTCTTGAACGGGCAACGATGTTCCTTTGAGGAAACTCGCAAGAAACAGTAGCAGTAACAGTAGTAGTAGATAAATACTTCCAACAGGCAGCCCAAATAGGTATCACGACTATACCCGGAAACTATCTACATGCAGCGACCTCGGCAATTCTCTGGAGCAGCCTCTAGAACAGCTAGTAAAGGTAAAACATCTCTACCTATTGGGTGATAGGCTCACCTTCACAGACACATTGTACAGCTTGAAGTGGCTGCTGTGTTGTAAAATCCAATTCCGTTTGCAGAGTAAGCGCACCATACCAAGAGCACTTTCCTAATATGGCGTTATGGTTTGGGGTACAGCTTTCTTGCAATTGGTTATTTACCGCGGCGACGCAGCTCTGTACACTAAACGAGAACGCAAGTATATTCGATACTTTGTGTTCCAATTTGAAACATATTTGAAAATTTCTGATTCCTTTTTTGAAGTGACTAATCTCTGGAAGGCTCACGTCTATCAGTTGTTAACTGTTAGCTATGGTATACAACATATTCGGATCCTTAATCGATTGTTTCAAGTGCCTTAACGTGCTTTACAACTTATTTTACAAGCGTAAGGAGCGATTGATATAAAACTTAAGAGTTTCAGCTTTGTTAAAATTGAAAGCGATTTTCATGATAAGATAAAATGCAAGAGAATTTCAGAAATTTGCATAGGTAGGTTTATATAAAGAAGCGCATTTATCCACACAGAACATGTATTTCGACATTATGAGTACCAATTTCTTCACGTTCTGTTTTCATTTTATGTAGTAAGCATATGCATTATGATTCATTGAGTTTTATTTCCTCTTTTACCTAGGAACTGAAAACTTGGACAATTGATTTTCAAAAAACTTTTATATTGGATATAAGTAATTCACCCCTAACAGTTTCTGGTGATATTAAAGTCGAACTTACTCAAAAATCATCAAGGAAGATGATTTGCCACTTCTGGGTTAATACATTCTTTTTGCAAAATAATGCGGGTATGTATGAATTTTCTAAATGAATAATATTTATAATCTATAAGATACATTAAGGGTGTACGTATTTGTAAGTTAAGTTTTAATACAATGTGTTCATAAATAGATCGATGTAAAAACATAAGGTAATAATAATTTAAAGCTGGTGTATATTTTTATACCCTGTGCCAAAAAAAGTGGTATAATGATTTTGTGCAAATGTGTGTAACAAACAGAAGGATCCATGTCTGATCCCATTATGTCGGAAACTACAAATGCGGAAGACTAAGTTTGAAAAATGAGAATGTATCATACTACACCACTTGTTGTTAATATTTCCTCATATTGTTAAGAAGAAAGAAAAGAAAAAAACAAAAAGATTTGCTTGCAATAAAATTAAAATAATCTTAAGTGACTATATTATTTATAGAATGTATAGTTAGAAAAGAGACAAGTGGTCTCTATATATGTGATCAACGCACAGCCCAAACCCTAAGAGCTAGCAAGCTTTAATTTTCACTGAAGTTAATTTATGTGATGAAGACACTAAGCGATGGTAACATTTTTCCGCCACCTTAGGAAAGGTTTTCGGCAACCTTGCTAGAGCATCCTTTTTAACCCAAGCTACTAGTTGAGTTTATGTACTTCTAGATGTTACATGCTAGCTTTTCTTTGGCATTCTCATATATTTTTACCTTTCTTAACTAAATAATTAAGCTTTACACATAAGTGGGATTGATTTTACAATTCTGTGGTGACAAGCTTTAAATTTGTTTTTAACATTGTATTTTTCAGCTAGCAGCACCGATGAAAACACCGATAAATTTACGCATACCTTAATTAAATCTGAAATTGATGGTGCACATAAAGACAAAGATCATAAATCGTTTTCGGAGGATTTTAAGGTAAACACTATTTAATCATAGCAAAAGAAAAATAGACTGAAAATAGTGGGGCAAAATTAAAATTTCAACGGGGTAAAACTCGGTGAAAAAGTAACATCTACAATTATTAGAACAAAACTTGCCAGTGGCATGGCCGAGTAATACCCGCTGTTATAAATATATATAATGAAATAATATAAACTTGACTTTCTTTTTGGTATTTGCAGATCTCTCTTGTATTTCTAAAAGAAAAAAAATGCTTCGACAGTATAAACGCTGAACCGTCTGCAGAAAATAATTGGAGCCATAATCGAAGCTCGGATTTTTTTCCTGGTGATAATGATAAGAATCTGAACAGTGAGGGTTCTGATATAAACTCTCCGTCCTCAAGTCGTTTGTTCGAAGGTCCATTTCATACCAGTGATGAAAAAGGTGAAACAAAATCGCACCTAATAGAACATAACAGAAAACTTGTAAGTGTAATGTGTTAGAAAAAAAATATCTAAAGATATAAACGTATTTTTGTTAGACTAAAAATCAACACAAAAAATCAACTATCTCAAAACTTCCTGCGTTGACATCTAAACGAAAACAGTCTTCATCAAAATGCCCATTAAGCGTTAGTAATACTTCGTCAGGCAAGGACAACAAAAAGCTGCATATTTTTAATCAACCGTCCGCTATACCATTCGATAAAGTGCCAATAAGGAGGCATCACAATAAAATGTATGAAAAAACCTCTGATAGTCGACGTATATTTGATCGATGTAATATTTCCAACCTTTCTGGCGGGGATAAGATCTTCGAGCAGAAGTCATACAATAATTGCAAACGATCATCTTCTGACTTGAATCAAACTGGTGAAGAAGGAGATGAAGATTGGGAATCCGGTGAGTCAACTGTTCACCTACTAACACCAAAATTACAATCATTACTTTTAGTTTACCTTGTACCCAATTTATCAATATCGGAAACAACAAAAAAAGGCAATCATTTTGCTTTAAACCAATAGCAATTACAAATAATTTTATGTAGCTCCTACTCAAAGAGTAATGTATATAAAATAATTATATTTTTATTAAGATAGATTTCCTTACTGCTTATTAAATTTTTTAACGGGTGACCGACCACCAATCAGTCAGTCAGTGTTTGTACAGCCAACGTTCGACTGGCTTTTTTTTTTTAAATTGGGTGCAACTAGTTCTTATAAGCTCCACGATATGCTAAAAAAAAATTCGTTAATCGATGTCATCTATACGGGCTAATCCATCGGTAATTTTAAACATGGGAAAAAGCACCTACGTTAAAAATATCAAATCTCGAGCTCTTATGCAAAAATTGCCGCGTTTTTATATACAGACAGTCGGACGCCCAAGTATAGCTTTGGGGAGTTCATAGTAAGTAAGTGGAGGTTAGAGTAACCTCCCGTCACGTATTCTGCCCAGCTCGTAGTGCGAGGCTTGCCTGGATTTTCGCCCAAGATTTTTATATTTGAAACCCATTGTGCAAATATAGGTAACAAGCAGAATGAAGCATCTCTGACCTGATGAAGTATACTTATTCTTGTTCAGCATCAAAAGCCCAGTCGTTCTATCCATGTACGTCTGTCCGTATGCATGAACGCGATGGCTTTAGAATCTAGAACGTTAGAGACGTGATATTTTAAGCGTATGTTATCAACACCAACAATTCAATTCCGACGAATCAAAATAGCAGCACAAAATGCAATATAATCACAATTGCAATGCTGTTTAAAGAATTCCATAAACACGCGCATGAATGTATATCTTTACATGTATATAGAAATGTTCGGAATTTGCGCCAGATGCCGTTTTTTAAATAACTTTTGCCGATTTCTTGATCGATTCTTTGCCGATCTTGATGTAATTTTCAGAAGTTTATCTTACTGTGCAATAGAATTGTCAAGAAGTCAATGCATTAAAGTTGTGGCTTTAATAGGTGGGCCATATTTGTTGGACAACAGCGAATTAACGATATCAATAGGTCGACTCGGCTGTTGATGCTGATCAAGAATATATATACTTTATGAGGTCGGGCATGCTTCCCTTTGCCAGTTACCTACATTTGGCACAAATACATTATCCCCTTTTACCCAACGGGTTTAAGCTATAAAAAAAAAATGATTGTTATCTTTAAAATACTTCTGTAATCTGTAATCTGTACTATGTACATACACTTATTTTCTAAGATGTCTTACTATTTATTATTTTTTGTATGAACATATTATAATTAGTTTCTTTTATTTTTGTTACTAATGAGTAGTACAACAGCTTTTTTAATAAATTGTATGCATATACCTATTTCCCTGAGGTACAATACTTTTGTTCCTTTTTTTTGTACATACTTCTATCCATCATTCAAGGAAGGTCTTCACTTTCTTTTGAATGATAACTGTCAATTTAAACCGGGCTGCAAATTGTTCTGCAAGTCTGCACAATCATTGGCAACAAACAAAGTTCAAATTATATTGAAATAGTCCACAAAATGCAACCAAAAAAAAAAAAACGAGCTACTCAGCGACGTCTGAATTAATATAAACGCAAACAGTGTGTGGACTGCACATGCGCCACACGGTGTGTGATGTATCAAAAGTGGGCTTGTAACCAGTTGGCGTGGCCAAAAGTAGGTGGTTAGGTGTGATTGCTTCGTCGTCTATATGTGGGTAATGTGGGTGGTCCTGCGTTGACGATAAATTCCACACGCTCTTCATTACAGTACAGATGGCATATATCATTCTTATCCTCCACATTGGTATCAGCTGGTTGATTAAACTTCCACTGAGTTTTTCTTGCGAACAGTGCTCCAATTCACATGTTTAGTTTTTGTAAATAAGGTTGTCAACTTCACTTTAAATCTGTTGTCTCTCCCCTGAAGCACTGAAGAATTTTTGCGCTAAGCGCGATATGCCTTAGCATTGGTCGTTCAGCTGACGCTCTCCGCAATGTTTCTCTCACAGGGAGCAAACGTTACTGGGAAGCTAGACTCGCAAAAAAGATTTGTAACACCTTATTTCGATTGGGTTCCTATGTATTCCCACGTTTATACTTTTTGTACAGTACGTTGATCACGGAGATTGTGTTTCAGAACAAAGAGCTTTGTATTTGCAGCTAACATATAGCATTAGGTTTTTCAAAATATATTTAAGCTAAACCTAGAAAGTGTTGTTAATTAGGTTTAAGTGTACTATGTAAGATGGTTAGATTGGACGAATTTGGGAAGCTTTTAATAAATGTCGGGTTTTTTTTTGTTGTGAGATTCAAAAGAATCTGGGTCAGATTTGTATATTACACCACCTCTGCAGAGGTAATAGCTTTGTGCAATTGTATGTAACGGGCAAAAAGAACCTTTTCCGGTGCCAAAAACTATATACATATATATTTGCATCAACAGGCAAATCTATTTAACCAAGTCCGTCTGAGTGTCCGCACGCTCGTCCGTCCGTATGAACGCAACGATCTCAGAGTCAGAGCTTAGGATTCTAAAATTTACAGACTTCCTGCCTTGTTGCCATAAAATCAGAAAAAATCGGTAATGGTATCCTGGCCTTTTCGGAGATATATAAATATATGCAATATAATTTTTGTATTGTACAAATGTACTTATGTAAACCAATAAGGTATTTGTATACAATCTCATAATATAATAATATTTTAGTTCGCTAGGTTGACCAGAGCAATCTTCTTACTTATAATTAATAATATTGTGGTCTTCAGACAAATTTGTACTATTATTATTTCTTTGCGAACAATGCCCTTACTCGCTATAAAATTATTCTCCCCGCGAAGCTGGCAATCGCTAGCTTCAAAAATGTATTAAGTCTACAAGTGAAGCCTGAGTTCAGTTAAAGCTTCGAATGCAATAAAAATATTCAGCAAGCCATTACATCTCGTCCAACACTCTTACAATAAAGAAAAAGTTCATCATGGTAATCCAAGCCAGAACTTTTAGGTTTGGTAGCAGCCAAGTTTGTCTACTAAGTACCAATATTGTAAGTTGTTTTATGATTTATTCTGCGATCTATAGTCAGAGTAAGTTGTTATGTATTAAAAAAAATGAATTTCCAAGATCTTAATTTACAGAACTATGGAGCTAGCACAACCGGCCAACATGAGGAGACAGATTTCAACAATGTTCCGCCGAGTTCTGAGAATTGTTACTAAGGCCTGCTGTATCTACCTTAAGCAGCAGAGTCATCAAAAAATGTGGTGAGTCTCTTTTGCGTAGTCCCCAAAAATAATTTGTTCAGAGTGAAAAAACCCTTTTCCACATTGTTTGGGAATATTGACTACAAATATTTGTAGATTGGCGGCCTTATTATATATAATATAATTATTAGAGAGGGTATGCAGGTAACGTGGGGGTAATATATACATACATGTCTTACCTGTAGGTTTTATCCGACTTACCTGTAGGGGTTTCCAACCAAACCAAACATAACAGAATTTGTATACATTTTTCGCAGACTCCAAGCTTCCTAGGTGGAAATTGCGGTTTAAAGATGATTTGCGATAAGTCTTAAGTGTGTAGGCCTTTTTGTACATACATGTTTGCATGTTTTTTGTATATATGCAAACATGCACGCATGCGTACATGATTGAATACACGCCAGGATACCCACATACAGGCACATACATACACACATATTAACATACATATGTATATACATACATTCATACATACATACATACATATGTACATACATACATACATACATACATACATACATACATACATACATACATATATATATGTACATACATACATACATACATATATATATGTACATACATACATACATACATATATATATGTACATACATACATACATATATATGCACATACATACATATATATGCACATACATACATATATATGCACATACATACATACATATATATGCACATACATACATAAATATATATATAAATACATACATACATATGTACACGCATATATACATATGTACGTATATTAATACATATGTATGTACATACATACATACACACACATGTATGTACATACATACATACACACACATGTATGTACATACATACATACACACACATGTATGTACATACATACATACATACACACACATGTATGTACATACATACATACACACACATGTACACACTTAAAAAAAAAACAAAAAAAAAACACCAAAAAAACACCAAAAAAAAAACACCAAAAAAAACACCAAAAAAAAAAACACCAAAAAAAAACACCAAAAAAACACCAAAAAAAAACACCAAAAAAAAAACACCAAAAAAAATACACTAAAAAAAAACACCAAACAAAAAAAAAACAAAAAAAAAAGCACTACACTACTAGCTAAGCGTGCAAATCTGCACAAGCTACTTGAATTTTTGAGAATCGACGAGGAGAGCACTTGATAAAAATTCGTTATATTTAAATTAGTAGCACAGCGACAAAAAGGCTTGGTCTGCGTTTGGTATTCAAAAACAAACATCCATGCATACATACATATATACATATATGCATACTTACATGCATGCATACACTTACACACACACACAAACACACACACCACATATATAATCCCTTGCTTTAAGCTTAATTTCAAATGTAGAGCACATAAGAACTTAATGAATACGTGTTTACGACATTCTGAAATTTCGCCCACAAAAGTGGGGTATATTGTCGGAAAACGGTTAAATACAATTTTTTGTTTTTCAAGGCCTTCTTTTACCCTATAAATGTCAAAATGTCTCACCCCCATAACTCGGTCAAATCTCATCCGATTTTCACGAAGTTTGGATTTTTCTTCATGGTTTTCCCTCTAGATTAATCTGGCATTCAAATCTGAACACCGATTTTTTAGTCGAAATTCATGTCCAAATCTTACCCCAAGATTCGTATATAGACATGGGTCAAAATTTACCACCCCCATAACTCGGTCAATTTTCATCCGATTTTCATGAAGCTTGGCTTTTTCTTCATGGTTTTCCCTCTAGATTAATCTGCCATTCAAATCTGAACATCGATTTTTTAGTCGAAATTCATGTCCAAATCTTACCCCAAGATTCGTATATAGACATGGGTCAAACTTTACCTCCCCCATAACCCGGTCGAATCTCATCCGATTTTCACGAAGTTTGGATTTTTCTTCATGGTTTTCCCTCTAGAATAATCTGGCATTCAAATCTGAACACCGATTTTTTTGTCGAAATTCATGTCCAAATCTTACCCCAAGATTCGTATATAGACATGGGTCAAAATTTACCACCCCCATAACTCGGTCAAATCTCATCCGATTTTCACGAAGTTTGGATTTTTCTTCACGGTTTTCCCTCTAGATTAATCTGGCATTCAAATCTGAACACCGATTTTTTAGTCGAAATTCATGTCCAAATCTTACCCGAAGATTCGTATACAGACATGGGTCAAAATTTACCACCCCCATAACTCGGTCGAATCTCATCCGATTTTCATAAGGTTTGGTTTTTTGTTCATGGTTTTCCCTCTAGATTAATCTGGCATTCAAATCTGAACACCGATTTATTAGTCGAAATTCATGTCCAAATCTTACCCCAAGATTCGTATATAGACATGGGTCAAAATTTACCACCCCCATAACTCGGTCAAATCTCATCCGATTTTCACGAAGTTTGGATTTTTCTTCATGGTTTTCCCTCTAGATTAATCTGGCATTCAAATCTGAACACCGATTTATTAGTCGAAATTCATGTCCAAATCTTACCCCAAGATTCGTATATAGACATGGGTCAAAATTTACCACCCCCATAACTCGGTCAAATCTCATCCGATTTTCACGAAGTTTGGATTTTTCTTCATGGTTTTCCCTCTAGATTAATCTGGCATTCAAATCTGAACACCGATTTTTTAGTCGAAATTCATGTCCAAATCTTACCCCAAGATTCGTATATAGACATGGGACAAAATTTACCACCCCCATAACTCGGTCAAATCTCATCCGATTTTCACGAAGCTTGGATTTTTCTTCATGGTTTTCCCTCTAGATTAATCTGGCATTCAAATCTGAACACCGATTTATTAGTCGAAATTCATGTCCAAATCTTACCCCAAGATTCGTATATAGACATGGGTCAAAATTTACCACCCCCATAACTCGGTCAAATCTCATCCGATTTTCACGAAGTTTGGATTTTTCTTCATGGTTTTCCCTCTAGATTAATCTGGCATTCAAATCTGAACACCGATTTTTTAGTCGAAATTCATGTCCAAATCTTACCGCAAGATTCGTATATAGACATGGGTCAAAATTTACCACCCCCATAACTCGGTCAAATCTCATCCGATTTTCACGAAGTTTGGATTTTTCTTCACGGTTTTCCCTCTAGATTAATCTGGCATTCAAATCTGAACACCAAATTTTTAGTCAAAATTCATGTCCAAATCTTACCCCAAGATTCGTATATAGACATGGGTCAAAATTTACCACCCCCATAACTCGGTCAAATCTCATCCGAATTTCACGAAGTTTGGATTTTTCTTTATGGTTTTCCCTCTAGATTAATCTGGCATTCAAATCTGAACACCGATTTTTTTGTCGAAATTCATGTCCAAATCTTACCCCAAGATTCGTATATAGACATGGGTCAAAATTTACCACCCCCATAACTCGGTCAAATCTCATCCGATTTTCACGAAGTTTGGATTTTTCTTTATGGTTTTCCCTCTAGATTAATCTGGCATTCAAATCTGAACACCGATTTATTAGTCGAAATTCATGTCCAAATCTTACCCCAAGATTCGTATATAGACATGGGTCAAAATTTACCACCCCCATAACTCGCTCAAATCTCATCCGATTTTCACGAAGTTTGGATTTTTCTTCATGGTTTTCCCTCTAGATTAATCTGGCATTCAAATCTGAACACCGATTTTTTAGTCGAAATTCATGTCCAAATCTTACCCCAAGATTCGTATATAGACATGGGACAAAATTTACCACCCCCATAACTCGGTCAAATCTCATCCGATTTTCACGAAGCTTGGATTTTTCTTCATGGTTTTCCCTCTAGATTAATCTGGCATTCAAATCTGAACACCGATTTATTAGTCGAAATTCATGTCCAAATCTTACCCCAAGATTCGTATATAGACATGGGACAAAATTTACCACCCCCATAACTCGGTCAAATCTCATCCGATTTTCACGAAGTTTGGATTTTTCTTCATGGTTTTCCCTCTAGATTAATCTGGCATTCAAATCTGAACACCGATTTTTTTTGTCGAAATTCATGTCCAAATCTTACCCCAAGATTCGTATATAGACATGGGTCAAAATTTACCACCCCCATAACTCGGTCAAATCTCATCCGAATTTCACGAAGTTTGGATTTTTCTTTATGGTTTTCCCTCTAGATTAATCTGGCATTCAAATCTGAACACCGATTTTTTTTGTCGAAATTCATGTCCAAATCTTACCCCAAGATTCGTATATAGACATGGGTCAAAATTTACCACCCCCATAACTCGGTCAAATCTCATCCGATTTTCACGAAGTTTGGATTTTTCTTCATGGTTTTCCCTCTAGATTAATCTGGCATTCAAATCTGAACACCGATTTTTTAGTCGAAATTCATGTCCAAATCTTACCCCAAGATTCGTATATAGACATGGGACAAAATTTACCACCCCCATAACTCGGTCAAATCTCATCCGATTTTCACGAAGTTTGAATTTTTCTTCATGGTTTTCCCTCTAGATTAATCTGGCAATTAAATCTGAACACCGATTTTTTTGTCGAAATTCATGTCCAAATCTTACCCCAAGATTCGTATATAGACATGGGTCAAAATTTACCACCCCCATATCTCGGTCAAATCTCATCCGATTTTCACGAAGCTTGGATTTTTCTTCATGGTTTTCCCTCTAGATTAATCTGGCATTCAAATCTGAACACCGATTTATTAGTCGAAATTCATGTCCAAATCTTACCCCAAGATTCGTATATAGACATAGGTCAAAATTTACCTCCCCCATAACTCGGTCGAATCTCATCCGATTTTCACGAAGTTTGGATTTTTCTTCATGGTTTTCCCTCTAGATTAATCTAACATTCAAATCTGAACACCGATTTTTTTGTCGAAATTCATGTCCAAATCTTACCCCAAGATTCGTATATAGACATGGGTCAAAATTTACCACCCCCATAACTCGGTCGAATCTCATCCGATTTTCACGAAGTTTGGATTTT